GCGTACGAGAAGAGCGCAGCGGCAGCAGCAGCAGCAGCAGCAGCAGCCCTCTGGTGTGCACTGCTGCAGCCCTGTAAGCATGCAAGGACACCGACACGACGCACGCGATGATGCCCGTCGGTCGCTGCGCTGCTGGCCGCTCCCGTCGACTCCGGAGGTCGGCGTCGCAGTCTCTCGCATCATCCGCGCAGTATGAGTCAGTCTGTCACTCACACACGTATGTAAGTGCGATGCGTATGGATGGACGTTCGCGCGACACGAGTGCCTGTACGATTGGGCATGCCGCGTGCACCGCCATTTCGCGATGGAGGGGCGTGTGCCATGGGCGGCTGCGTCTCTGGCCCGCCGATCCAGCGGGCATCTCAGCTTTCCCCCTCCCACAGACGTTTCCTTGCTTCAGCTGCGCTCGCACTGCCCGCCAAATCACCCATCGCGACAAGCACACGGGCGGGCTTGGGACACGCCGAGACGCGGCGACGCCCAATGAGCCCGGCCAGCACAGCGCAACGCACAGCACCGCACCGCAGCCCAGGCTGCCCTGCCGTGACTCGCAGGGCTGACCTGGAATGGGCTCCCGCGTGTGACGCGACCGGACCGCCCAGGTGCGGTGATTCGTCTCCGTTCGTTTTCCCATCGCGCACGAATGGCTGCGTGGCGTCGCGGTCCGTGGCTGTGATTCCTTGCTTCGCAACGCACCGCGCCGCGCCTCGCGTCGTCGCCCGTCCTCTGTCGTCATCGCCACCGACACATCCGGAGTCACACAGGTTCCCTTCGGATGCCCCTTCCAGAGCCCGCACCGTTTGGCACTTCGAAGCGGCCCTGGGCCCCGGGGAGCCCGCTGCCTGACTGGATCGTGGAGTCTGCATCCGCGACCGATGCATCTCGCCGGTGGAACACGAGGCGCATGGGGCATCGCATTCGATTATTATGCGGGATGAGGCACCTTATTTCGCATCAAGTACGTGCTGCGTACCTGGGTACCTCGAGAAGCGCATGCACGAACGGTCATGGCGAGGTACTCCGTACATGGCATTCTCGTTTGCCGCAGTCGGGATGGTGCAATGTCGAGGCGCCCATTGCTGCTCGCGTATCGGGCACCGCTATCTGCAACGTTGACCGCCAGTCCCTATGGGGGGGCCACGAGCCCAGGCGGGCTGCATGGGAATCCAGCCTTGACACACACCTCCCCGAGCCCAAAGCGCCATCGATAAGGCGGTAACCAAGCGCCCACGAGGAGCAATCTGGAATTCCGCCATCCGGCCGCATGTATGACTTTAGTAATCCGCGACGGGCGGCGTCGGAGGTGCGACGTCCGTTGCAAGACCTGGCTTCAATGTCGCCATCGCTTGCTGCCTTGCTTGCTTGCTTGCCTGCTTGCTCACTCACCTTCCCTCACCCCTGCGGTGTCCAGGATCACTCGGAGGAGCACGCCGGGCTGTCGCGCGACTGTGGAAATGGCAGGAGTACGCGCTGTAAAGCTAGCCACATTCTAGCTTCCTTGGACTTTCCCATGTGGGCGTGCGAGATCACCAGAAGTCCTGGATAGCATTACTCGTAGTCGCCATGACCACCACATTTGAAGGTACAATGCACGCCCCCGCCGGGAGGGGATGGGAATCATGGCAAGCTTCCGCTTCTCCACACCGAAGGCCCGGGCCGGGTGACGGCGCGACTGAGGAAGGTACGTACTCTAACGTTACTGGTCCCGCTCGGTACGGGCAACTTTGTACTGGGTGTCTCCCCGCGGCATGCCTGGTCCGGAAAGGCACGGTGGCTCAAACAGGCAGTCGGTGGGGGCGCCTGTGGGGGCATGGGGTCGCTACCCTTTGGGGGACTTGGGGGATACCCTTGGGGGCAGGAGCGCGGGCAGTGCTGGTCAGGCAAGTACCTAATAAGCCTAAGCAAAGGTACTGAGGGTTCGCAGCAGGAGCGACAGGGCAGCACGACGAACAAGGCAGGAACCAGAAGCAGAAGGAGGGTCCTCGCGGACCCAAAGGATCTTTTCTGACAGTAATCCGTCAGCTATGGCAGGCCGGCGCCTTCAAGTTTGCTCTCGCGGCGAGCGATTACGGCATCATGGAATGTTTGCGCGGCAGGATGCGATTCCTCAATCCTAGAATGGCAAAGCTCGGTCCATCATCCTCCCGTCTCATCCTCCGGTCAAGCCATTCTTCTTCCTTTGACGCATATCCTCCGGCTTTCAACGGCAGCAGCAGGATTTGGATTCGGACGCTCCGACCATGACTCCGTCTTCGCACGCCCATCTCGCGTGCTGTTGCTCGGTTACCCCCCACCGGCAAACTTTTAGGGTAGGGGCAAGCAGGGTAGGATATCAAATCCGAAATGCTGCTGCCACATGGTTACATGGACCGCGACTGGCGGCCTCGACGGTCTGGCAGACTGGCACGACGCTTCTGCCGTCGCCTTACCAGGGGACCGGGCAACAACGGTGAACCGTCCGGAAGCGAAATGAAGGAGCCGGGGGCGAGCCATGAATCGCACCCAAGTCGACGGGGCGTCCTGGCCGCTCCGGTCGCTGGCTTGCAGACCTTGCCTTGTCATGTCGGCCCCTGTTTCCCGCTCGCACACCCCTAATCATCTCCCGCTGACCGTTGGCAGTCAGGGGAGGCGAACTGCTTTTGGAAGCCGTCCCAAGTGCTCGGGCACGACTCGCAGATTTGCAGCGACAGCGCCTGCGATAGCTCCACCCGCGGACCCGGGGCGGCGATGCCGCGTCCCGCCCCGCCGTGGCTCCGCAGGCACCCCGTTCTTTTGGAAGCTTTTGTTTGCTTCCAGACGCCTCGGGAGCCGTGTTGCTGTTGAACCGTGCGTAGCTTGCACAGCTCCGTCACAAACGATCCCTCTCGTCAGCCTGCCGCCCCGTTTCCGCGACTCCTGAAGATCGCGGTCCACGACAGAGCGCGGGCCCCGTTGCCCCTGGCGAGCAAGGTTAGGGCTCGTGTCTCCGGATGCAAGGCACCGTGTTCCCTGACAGGAGGTCCCTGCGCGGTCTGCAATCTGCAGTGCCAATGGCCACACGGGTGCGCAGCTGAACGAGGGCACGACTGGACCGATCTCATGCCGGATGTTCAGATTGTGCCTCCGAGACAGCTGGCAGGGCATCGATCGCCATTCAATTGCCCAACCGTCACGCTGCGACGTGTACGGAGAAGGAACTGCCAGCAGTTCAGATGCGCCAGGTTTGCGTGCTTCTCGCAATGTCTTTCCGCCCGACCACGTTGACTATTGCTTCGACGTGGCCGCATTCTCTCACGCAGGACAGCAGACTGCATCGACATCAATCGTTTGGTGGCGCCGCCTGTCAAACCGTGGCTGCCACTCGGTGAAGAGCCTTGTGACTTTGTCGGAACTCGTCGATACCCGACATCCGACATGTCGATGAGCGACGGCATGAGCCACGTTTCTTTCCGCCAAAGACTCTCATTTTTGATGCGAGCTGTCACTTTTTTTTCCCGCAATGCAATGATCTCTTGTTTTCCGTTCTGCCGCGCTCAGCTAGGAGGGCCTTCCTTTTTTTAACCCTCAGCGAGCCACTTTGCATGGGCGACATGCTTTTGTGAAACGCGGTTGTCTGCCACTCGCGGCCATTCCGCCCTTCCCGCTGTGCGGGCAGAGTTGCCGCCCGCTTCCCATTGCCTGCTTGCTTCGTCGTTCCCGCCGCCACATGGGACGGGGAACCGGAAGGCTGTCCAGGCAGGCCGGGCGCCCCTTGGTTGTGTCTCCCCGCGGCGATCCCCCGGATGGCGCTCGGCTTGCGACGAGGTCCAACCAACTGCGATTGATGAGCCTGCACGGAGCATGTACCGTGCACCACGTTGACCGTGCGTCGCTCAGATATACCGGCTGTTGGTTCCCGGACACGCTTGCATACGCTGCCTTATTGGGCCTCCACAAATTCGCGGACACTGTCCTTTGCAGCTTTGTTGCGAGCACGCTGGTGAAATATTTCACAAAAGGCCGCCAAACCCAGAGCGAGGCCTGGAACACAGGACATGGTGGCGTAGCATTACTGCTCTTCATTTATGCCCAATCTTTGATGTGTTTGCATGCGGCCACTTTGTTCGCCAACTCCTACTCCGTACTGACTGCTGGGGTATGTTGGTTCGAGGCTCCTGTACTTCGTAAAGTGGTCGGAGACGTTCCCCGACCGTTGGGAGCTTATCCAGAACGCGAGTGATAGCCGGATGCTCGAACGAAAGGCCAAACGTCCAGGATTAGAGATAGATATCACCAACACGAGGCCGCAATCCACCAGTCGGTTGTCGTATTGCACCCATGCCATGCCAGTGATCACGGAATCATCCGTTGCGCCCTGGATCAGGCAGGCAAGAGGGGGCTGTTGCCTGCGACCGAGGCGAATGGAGTGCTTGAAGGACCGATTCGGAGCTTGACACGCCCCCCGTTGGTCTGATTCTTGTTGGTGAAGCGGCCGAAATCTGATGCGCGAGTGTTGCGATCTCTGGCCGTAAACGGCAGAAAGATGAGTGTTGGGCCTCCCCTGTCGCCCGTGAGCGATGTATCCCACGCGAGCCAGCGGCTACGATCGAGCTTGAGTTTTGAGGTGTCGAGCTTGAGTTTTGAGGTGTCGCATTCCGTTGCGCGGCAGGAAGTCCGTGAGATAGCCGGGGATGGGGTATTCGTTGAGCAGGAGACGTTACTCATGCTCAAAACTGTTGAGAGGTTGAATGTGCTCTGTTGATGGACTACCCTGGAGCTCTCGCAGGCAAATGCGACTTTCACTCTACGCATCTACGATGGCATGGCGAGAGCATGCATTTGATGACGCCTTTGCCAGTCTCTTTTTGCGAAATGCGTCGAATTTAAAGTCTAAATACAGGTCCGTACGCAGATGACTGGTAGGTTCAGCGAACATGCCTCAAAACACGACCCCGGGGACGCCCCAACACCGTTGCCAAGATAGCACTAAATAATATCGATGAGGCAGGAAGCCGACAGAAGAAGCGCGATGTCTTCGCGCGCTAGCTCCGCAGGGCATCTAGGCGGTTCCGCATTTGGTCCATCATGACCTCGGCGTCCTCTTCCTCCTCCTCTTCCTCCTGGACGGGCTGCTGGGGTTCGGGCAGCGGTGCGGCGGGCAGGGCGGGCTCCTTGCGGTCCTTGAGGATCTCGCCGAGGACCTTGTCGACCTCGCCCTCTGCTTCCTCGTCCTCCATGAACATGTCCGGGTCCTCGGGCAGAGCGTCCTCGACCATCTCCTCGATGATGCCGGCTTTCATGAGCTCGACACTCAGCTCGCGCATGGTGCCCGACAGCTCGGGCAGGCGGATGAGGGAGTTGACATCCTTCATGATGCCGACGCTGGCCTTGATGGAGCCCTCAATCTTGCGGACTGCAAAGGCCTCGTTGACCTGCATCTGGACCGAGTTGAGCTGGGCCTTGGAGGTGACGAGGCGAGCCGAGGTGCGGCGCGCGCGGACTAGCTCGCGGGCGAAGTCGCGCACCTCTTTCTGGGCCTGCTTCTGGCGCGAGGGGTCGCGCTGGGCGCGGCGGTCGGCCTGTACGATGAGGTTCTTGGTCTTGATCTCGACCTGCTTGACCGTCGAGATGTCGCGGTCGAGCTTGCGGATGTTGGAGCGGAGAAGGGCGTTGCACTTCCGGACCTAAAACGGGAAGCGAAAGGGGCCTGTCAGAACTTGGTCGTCCCGACTGGGGCAATGGCTTTTGAAGCATGGGCGCCAATGTATATTCTTGAGGCATACCTGCGCCTGGGGGTCCGGCTTGGAGAAGAGCGACTTGAATGTCTCCATGGCTGCTTGCGCGGTCTCGGGGGCGCCGACGCCGGGTCGGACGCCGTCGTCTCGCGCGGGGCGGGGAGTGCGGCCGGTCGAGGAGGGGGGAGACGAGAGACGAGCGGCGGTATGTGAGCAGGCCGATCGAGTCGACTCAGCTCAACCGGGCGGGTTCGTGCGTGGTGTTGCTGCTGCTGCGGCCGTAGTGCCGGTGTCGTCGGTGTCGATGTCACGGGTGAGGCGGGGAGTTGGGTGGATGGATGGTGCAGTGACGTTCGGGTGCCTGAGAGGCTGAGAAAGGCTGTCGGGCGGGCCACGACCCAGAAAAAGGGCTGCACGGGGCAGGCGTTAGGAGTGGCAGACCCCACCAGGCCGCTGCTGAAATACGGCACTCGTCGCATCTTTTACAGCGTGCAAGGAACAGGCCTCGTTCACGTAAAAAACGCTGAACTGTTCTAGAGAGAAGGTCAATGAGTCCGCGAGAGAATCAATGAGTCAACACAGCCTCGGACGATGTATCCAGCGTTGGGCACAGGTTGCACCTGACAGTGGCTGAGGCTGCTATAAAATACAGGCGTTTCTTCGTAGCTTGGGGCGGTGGCTGCTTTGTGCCGCGCAGCCTCGCCGCTCACATGCATCATCCCGTGAGAGTTTACGGGAGCTAGATCCCGCGCTCGATGTTGGGAGAGCTCGGGTTCACTGCAAGATAGACTCGAGCCTTCCCGGGCGGAACGGCGCCGCAGAGCTCCATTCAATGTTGATGCGGTGACGACGACGACCTCGGGACTCACTGTAAGACAACCTGGGAAGTCAGGCACTGCTGCTAGCGGGCAGAGAACTGGGCTGCTACCGCTGGTGGCCCGCTGACGACAATGGCGGGGCCCTTCGCGGCAAGGAGCTCTCCCTCTGCCTTGCGCGAGGCTCTGCAAACAGGCCGAGCTTAGCAACGGAGCCGCAGTTAGTGGGCTACTTGAACCCGCCGCAGCCGGACGCGCCACACCTCGCGTACCCGCTAGCAGACCCAGCCTGCCCCTCAGTGTGCTGGGTCTTTTCGCTTCCCGTTGCTTCTTAGACCTTCCACAGCTGCTCTCTCGTACGTCGCACTGCCCGTAGCACGACTTTGTTTGATCGCGACAGTTTCTCTCCCCCTCCTCCCGCTACAAGAACCCGTACGTCCATCGCGCTCTGCCCTCTTCAGCATCCGACGAATTACGCCGCTGTACCCAAAATACTCTGGGCTCGTCCATCCACGCTACAGCACTGACTGACACGGGCTCTCCCTCCAGCAGCGTTTGCACCGCACTCGCTCCCGTACACAACCCGCTTTCGTTCTTCGCGCCACCCCCGAAACGCGCAGCAATCATGTCCGAGACGGCAACTCCCGAGGGTAAGTGATGCCGACGTGAACAATCCGTCATGGGCCGAGGCCCTGGCGGCGCTCAATGCAGAGCCCGCCTCAACCCTCGTCGCCCGCAATGGCACACCCGAGCTGACGACATGCCTTGCCCCCCCTGCAGTTCTCTGGGCCCAGCGCTCCTCCGTATCCGATGCCTCCAAGAACTTCGTCTACCTGACCATCTCGGTCCCCGACGTCCCCAAGGAGGGCCTCCAGCTTGACCTCAAGCCCACCAGCCTCACCTTCACCGGCACCTCGACCACGCTCAAGCGCAAGTACCACGTCGAGCTCGAGTTCTACGCCGAGATCGACCCCGAGGAGAGCAAGATCAACCACACCTCCAAGAACATCGAGATGAAGCTGCACAAGAAGGAGCTCAAGGAGGAGTACTGGCCTCGGCTTCTCAAGGACAACAAGAAGCTCCACTTCCTCAAGACCGACTTCGACAAGTGGGTTGACGAGGACGAGCAGAACGAGGCTCCCGAGGAGGACTTTTCGCAGTTTGGCGGCATGGGTACGTGACGCCTGGTCCAAGAAGAAGAAGAAGACGAAGAAGAACCGTCATGATGCTGACAAGCGGTTATAGGCGGCATGCCCGGCATGGGCGGCGGCGGTACGTGACCTGGGACACCCACCACCACAGATCTCACAATCTGTGAGACGTACTGCGAAACGTGAACAGCGACTGACGCGACGAAATCTAGGTGACTTTGGCGGTATCGACTTCTCTAAGCTCGGAGGCGGTGCCGGCATGCCCGACCTCGGCGATCTGGCCGGCGGTGCTGGCGAGGGCGACGACGAGGACAGCGGCGACGATGACGACGATGACATGCCCGCGCTTGAGGGTGACGTCAAGGAGGAGGGCGCGAAGAAGGACTAGACGAGACCAGATCCCCGTCGTCTGACCGGAACAATGGCCGACCTGGACTTATAAGATCATTATGGTGGGCAGGTAGTATGGAGTTATAGTGCGATGTCGCCCGTGCTATTGCTGCCACGCGGATCAACGTCTCGAATAAAAAAGAGTATTCCCAGCCGCGTTTGCGGGCCCATCACGCATGTCCTCGGCCCCACGGAACCCGCCTTCGGTGATTATCCCGGCAGGTCCTCGTCCCGGGGATCAGCTCGGGACACTTGGACAGTGCCGCCTCGTCGGCGCAACCCGGCCGACGTCTTTCGCATTGTCTGTCTCAGCCCGCCCCCTCGGGACCGGTGCCGTTACACACTCGCTCGCGCCCCATGCCTTCTCCCCCCCGTCCCCGCGCGCCTGTCGATACGCGGGATGGCTTTGAGCTCGCCAACCATCATCCCCCTCTGCCCCCACGACGCGGCGCGCCCAACGCCGAGGGCAGCACGAGCCCGTGTCACCACCGCCCGCGTCGTGGCGCAACGATAAAGGAGCCTTTCGGGGGGCATGACGATGACGTTTTGTGTACCCATCCCTTCTACTTCCCTTGCGCTCTCGCTCGGGTCCCCATGTCCCCTTCCCAATGAGCTGGGTTCGCGGCTGGCTGGCTGGGCGGCGGCGCCTCGTCCACCCCCCTCCTCCTCCGTCACTCCCTCGGAACCGGGGGCGTTTGGCAATATTTGTCAGACGCGCCTCCCGCCGCGAAGGTGTGCGCACAGTGTCGCGTCGTATCGTGTAGCCCAGCCCCTCTCTTGTGAGTAAGTCAGCGAGAGCGTGTGATCAAGAGGATTGTGTGGTTTTCTGGCCCTGACGTGTTTCCCTTTGTTCGTGGAGGAAAGTGGGTGTGTTGCGTTCCTTCGAAAGGGGTTGAATGTAAGCTACGAATGCGCATTATCTTTCTGATTATACATTCATACGAACTTCTTGAAATGGGAGAGCAGAGAGGAGGGCATCGATATCGTGGTCATACCCCCGGTCGTCCTCCCACGCGCGCCCCCGCGATACTCGTCACCACAATAGCTTCGCCCTGGCCGCTCCCCGGTCAGAGCGTCCTCCTTGGCGCCGCTTCCCCCCCCTCCATCCCTCGATTGTATGTACGCGCCACCACCATCTTCATCCGGCGGCAGCTCCTTCACTGGCGCTCCCGTCCCGAACCGCATCGCGATCCCGCCGCCCACGCACGCGCGCCGGGGGGGGGGAGAGGGGGAAGAGAGACAAAGGCACAGGCAGGCAGCCAACTCATCACCACCACACGACATGTAAGACCCGTATGTAAGCAACGCGCACCACTGTAGTCCGCAACTATGAATGGGGTCCATACAGTAGAACACAATGATACTCTACAGTACAATGGCGGCAGCCCGCTTACTACCCTACCCTAGGTGTCGGTTTCAGTTCAGACGTCTCCTCGGCCTTTGGGGCTTCACCACCACCACTCACCGGAGCGCACGTACGTACATACTGCGTACGTGTATTCCCGTTGGCAACGAAACCGAAGGAACCCCCCGCGCGCCCTCCACGCTCGTCTATACGTGCACTGTACGGACAACGCTCGTGCGCCCCTCCTCCTCGTCTCCTCCCTGCCTTGGGCCCCCCTCACCCCCATTGTCGCCGTCATTGCGAGAATGCGGCGTGCGTAATACTCCGTACGGAGCAACAAGACAGTGATGGTGGTGGTGGTGGCGCCAACCAACCCCCCGTTCCCCCGTCTCATTGTCTCGTACCCAAAGGCATGTCTCGTCTGTATATAGCAATACACTATATAGCCCCCAGGAATAGCCGCCTTAGATGTGTGTGTCTGTGTGTGTGAGCTTGTGGTGTGTATCTCTTCATCTCTCTGCCTGCTCTGTGGCCCGTGGCTCCAAGACTCTGAACCCAAGAAACAAAAAAAAACAAACAAACCACATCGTTCCGCCTGTGCCCGTATGGGAAACAAAAACGACAAAGCCATTGTTTGCCTGAAAGCCACGTCCCGCACTCCTTTGCCCGCGACCACTACTTGCCTTGCCACCGCCGGCGCGGCCCGCCTTGTTCCTACAACGTTTCGTTCGACCTGCGGCACATCGCGAACCCGATAGGCCCCTCGGCTCTACTACGAAAGCATACGCGCAGCCGACCACAATGCCCGGCATCATGCATCCGGGCGCATACACGGCCCTCGACGCCGCTCGCGCCGCGCAGCGTGGCGCTTGGATAACCGCCTGGCCAGCCGACGAGCCCTTCTCTCTGCCGCCTTTGGAGCCCGCTCGCCGCTGCCTGCGGCCCACCATGAAGCTCGGTCGCCGCGGTGTCATACCCCTTCGGCGTCGGTAGCGGCAGCCATCGAACCGACGAGTAGCAGAGTTAAACGGCTGTCGCGTCTCGGGACCGGATGAGCTGGTTGGAGGGTTCGAGCAGGATTTGAGTATTACTCGTACTACAAAGTGCGCTCCCTGTATATAATATCGGCGCTGTGTCTCTCCGTTCCCCCGAGGCACGCTGCATCGCTGCAAGAATGAGCAAAGAGCGCACCGAGAAGTAACCCAAGTTATCTGAAGTTTGAGAAAGACCATGTCCCTTTGTCGTGCTCCTCGGTTAAAACTGAATCCATGTCCACCCGCCCCAGGATATATATATGTGTGTTTCGGTAATAGTTGCGCGCCGTGTCCCTGCCCAGCAGTTTGCCTCACGTCCAGTATCAAAGGTGCAAATATTGCGGATTACCTCGAACCGCTCAATTCAATTTCGTTCCCCCATGCCAAAATCTCCTTGCTCACTGATTACACACGATTTGTTAGCGACTTCTTGGTCGCGCAAGCCAGATGCTTAGACGCTTACCATAATCTCATCCTCCATGGCCGCGTCGGTGGTGGCGGCAGCGGCGGGAGCGCTGGCGCTGGCATTCGCGTTCTCGTTGCTGCCAGGCTGGAAGTAGTCGGCCATCTCCGAGTCGAGCTCCTCGGTCGTCTTCTTGGCCGGGCGAGCGCTCTTACCACGGCGCTTCTTGTTGGCGCCAGCCTTGCCGACGGCGCCGGCCTTGCCCGCGTTGGCGTTCTGCTTGCCGGTGGCGGCCGACTTGGGCTGAGCCTTGGGCTGACTGTTTGGTCGATTAGCAACAGTGAAACGATTGGATCCGTAGGGCAGCACTCACGAGGTACGCTCGGCAAGGGACTTGACGGGCGGGATAACCTTGTCGGCCTGGGAAGCGCCCACAACGATCTCGATCTATTTGGTCCAGTTAGCGACGTGAAGTCCCTGCCATCGCCAAGGGCACTGACCTTGATAGGGCGGTTGTCGACGAGCAGACCATTGAGCTTCTGGAAGGCCTTGCTAGCGCCATCAGGCTTGTGGAAGGCGACGTTGGCGATACCGCGGCTCTGCGAGTTGGGTCCATACACGAGGTCGACTCTCTTGATCGGTCCTACAGCCTGGACGAAGTATTCCTGTGGCGGAAAGTCAGTCAATGAGAATCGTCGGGTTGAGTCACAAATGCCGAGTCCGTCTTCGAGCGTCGTCGTCCACCGTCCGAAAACCGCAATCGAGTCGTCGAGGGAATGTGGGCGTAGGGATCAAGCAAGCAAAGCAGTGAGCTTCAACAGCGTCGCGTCGCTCGTACGCGAACAGGCGACTTGTCTCCATCGACTCTTTGTTTCAGGTCTCAACAGAGTCGGAAATGCACTTGACTGATGGCGAGTGGCCGGCCCCGACAGCCCTTTCGCAGTCAACAGTGGAGTAGTGCATGCGCTGCAATGTGCTGGCCTCGCAAGAGGTCTGACACTATACGATTGTCCTGGCCCGCGAGGGCGCTTCAGACAAGTGCAAGCGCTACGATCGAGCCGCTCGTTAGGCTGACAGATCGCTTCTGAGGGTGAAATTTGCCCTCCCCCCTGTGGGAACAATGAGACATGAGCCGCTGCTGTTGCGACAATTGTGCTGACACAGATGCCGTATTCGCTCACTGCAGTGCTTGCTCCACCCATCGTAGCCGGCGATGCCCGTATCGTGAACGGGGGTTTCGCAAGCTCGATAATCGCACGCGCGCCTGGGAACGCAACGCCCGCCTCTAAATTGTCACCGCGGCTCTGCAAAGGCGTTGACCAGACGCCTTGGTGAGCACTTGCGGGACGAGGCTGCTCTTGACTTCCACACTGCGAACCGGATCACCGTGTAGCGCCTGTGATGGAAGGAGCTGGGCGGGTTCCAGGCACGAGCCTGCCGGCTCGGTTCGAAGCGTTGGCTACGAAGACGCGGCATCGAGAAGGCGGATGTCGGGCGAGGAGTGTACAGTCGAACAAAGTCCGGAGGCATCGCCTCAACGGAAACATACCTTGATCTGCTGCTCCGAAACATCCTTGGGCTGTACGAAAGTCAGTTGCTGGTTTCCAGACAACGGCACAAGACTTGGGATGGACGAACCAGGTTGCTGACAATGACCTTGCTCTCACCGCTAATCGCGGCAGCCTTGGCCGGGGCGGCTTTGGCGGCAGCACCGCGAGCGGGCTTGGTGGTCTTCTGAATGCCGCCAACGGGGGCGGTGGTGGCAGGACGGCCAGCGCGGGGTCGCAGAGAGCGGCGACGACCGGCAGAGCGGCGCTGAGCCGAGACGATCTCGTCGAGAGGCTTGTCGAGCTTGCCAGACATGATGAAGTCTTGTCCGTTTGTCTAGGGTCGAGATAGCTGAAGCGGTCGCACGAGGGGCCTAAGCGTGTCGCGAGATACGAGGCGACGTAGGTGGACAAATAAGGTGTCTCGCTGATAACTGATGAGGTCGGGCGATGGAAAAGGCTGTTGTTCGCGAGGCGAAAACAACAAGATCTGTCGGGCGCTGGCGAAGGAGCCTAGCAGAATCGAGAGAATGAACAGGTCGCGAGGCGAAAATCTCCAGGCGAATTTGATGTGCTTGAAAAGGCGCGGCAGTGGTCGTACAGCGCGCGTGTGATGAAGAAGAGAAGTCGGGGGTGTTGGTGATACGGTTGGGGCTTTATTGATGAACCAGGTGGTTGAAGAGGGAAGAGGGAGCGAGGACGGGCGCGAAGGGAAGGGCAGAGAAGGGGACTGGGCTGGGCCCAGAACGCGGGTGGCAGGTGGGGCGCGGCCAGGCCGCCAGCTGGGGGAGACGCACCTTCCGGGAGCCAACCAGGCATCCAGGCAGGACTGGCAAACGGGCAGGCACAGGCACGCTTCACGTAAGCAGGATGGCACGCTGGCCCGAGCGCCCTGACTGTACCGCCACAGCACCACCTGCAGCTCAGCAGTCAGCACCACTTCCATCTGAGCCTAAGAGATCTTGCAGCTCTTCACGAACCCAGCACGGCGCAGTACCCGGCGAGTGAAAGGCTTGCCGGCTCAAAGAAGATGAATGCTGTGACACTGCATCTGCAGGTGCTGCGCATACATTGACAAGGTGCAAACAGTTTGTGGCCGCAGCCAATGCGAGCGAGACAGACGCACTCAGACAAGGCACGAGGCAACACCGTGCCTGTTTCTTTATGTGTATACAAAGGAAATCTTTAGCAAAGTCGCTCGCCCTTCATCCGGGCCGGCATGGATACTTGTCCAGTGATGGAGCCTACAGAGGCGGATGGCAATGTGATTGTCTCAAGCACGTTGCGGGTACACGCAGGTGCCATGAAGCCGAAGCTGATTGCTCGCTTGCTATTTCGACCCGGACGCTTGCGCTCCCCTGACAACCCCTACAATCCTGCGGCTTCGTTCGTCTTTGTAACTTAGGGCATCTTCCGCGCCTCTATGCTGGGCAAGGTATCATGTCGCTGTCGCCGCATTTCATTCCGTAGCTCCCCGTCGTATGTGTCCGTTGACACTGTTCCCACTCTGAACTGATGCCCCCGCTCTGAATTGGTCGATGAACCCAATGCTCATAAGCGCTTCAAGCCAAGTTCCGTATCTGATCATCGCAGGTGGACCGAAATGCTTCTGATATTGTACACGCGCCGGGGCCGTTGCGTGGCTTCGGTCGCTTCGCTGGATACAAGTCGCCGGCCGCAATTCCGCATCAGTTGGCCTTTTTGGCAGCTGCGGCCTCGGGCACCGCGTTGACCTCGAGAAAGTGATAGACCACAATCAATATCATTGATGCGGCGCCGAGGAAGATGGCGAGGGAGAAGAGGTCTCGGTCGGTTATCATACTGGCGGTAGTGCGAGGAGGGGCGCGGGCGAGTCGATTGAGTGCCTGACAACGATGCCTGACTTTCACGGAAGTGTTAGTGAGACTGCGCGGGAAGTTCGAAGGCAGAGCGGCTTGAGGGGCGTACTCGTGCGGGTTGCGTGGTGGACAGCGCGCGGAACAGGTCGAAGATGAGCGTTGGCGACAGCAAGGAGGACAGCTGGAGCATTCGTGGAGCTGCGCCGCCATGGTTGCGCTTCTGCTCCACCAGCGCTTGCCGCGCAGTACCAATTAGGACTAGCGCCACTTTCTCTCTGTCCCTCCCTCCCAACTGCGCCCATCAGTGCGAATTACTGACAGCGTGTCGCGCCCACGCTGTGAGTGATGCAGGCGAGAATCACCAAGCAAGAGGACGGACCAGCTCTTAATACAGGAAATACTATTGACTTGCTCTTCTTCTCTTCCAACAGAGCTTATGGAGTGCTGTGATATGCCCCGACAACACTTGTTGGAAACGCACTGTAAGTCGATGGGACAGCAAAATAAGACGGCATTGGCCGTGGAGTCTGGGTGACTATCTGCACGTATAAATCTGTCACCCAAGTTTGCCCCTCCTCCCAAAAGAGGGTCCGGCACGTGACGGCGGTGACTTCATCCACCAACCAAGGCAGCCCACCAAAAGCGACGAGGCGACCCGATCTTCAATTTTCTCGACGCAACAATCGACGATATCCACGACGACTGAGGCCCTTGTGTTGCTCGGATTTAGGGGCCGAAGGAGGACTACGACAGCACCGCTTCTCGCTCCACACGTTACATACTTTGTCCGACCCCTCGACGCACTCCCACCACCGCCCGCCTGCCCGCCATGCCTCCCAAGAAGACCGAGAAGGGCGGTGGTGGCGGCAAGAAGCCGTCCGCCACCAAGCTTGCCGAGGATCGAACCTTTGGCATGAAGAACAAGAAGGGAGCTGTTGCTCAGAAACAGATTGCGCAGATGGCGGCCAATCTCAAGGCCGGTGGTACCGCCGAGGAGAAGAAGAAGGCCGCCGACAAGGCCGCCCGCGAGCGCGAGAAGAAGGCCGCCGAGGACGCCAGGAGGGAGGCAGCTGCGCTCTTGAACAGGCCGGCTCAGATCCAAAAAGTCCCCTTCGGCGTCGACCCCAAGACTGTCGTGTGTATTTTCTACAAAAAGGGCGACTGCGAGAAGGGAAAGAAGTGCAAGTTCTCGCACGACCTGTCCATCGAGCGCAAGACGGAGAAGAAGAACCTGTACTCGGACACGAGGGAAGAGGGGGAAGAGGACAAGAAGAAGCAGGAGACGTCGGCCGAGTGGGACGAAGAGCAGCTTCGCAAGGTGGTCCTATCCAAGAAGGGCAACCAGCAGACGACGACGGAGAAGGTGTGCAAGTACTTCATCTCGGCCATCGAAGACGGCAAGTATGGGTGGTTCTGGATCTGCCCCAACGGCGGAGACAAGTGCATGTACAAGCACGCCCTGCCGCCCGGGTAAGTTTGCGCTCCGGACCCTGGCATTCGAAGTAATATGGCGCTGACCGGTCACGTAGGTTTGTTCTCAAGACCAAGGAACAAAGGGCGGCGGAGAAGGCACTCATGGACAAGTCTCCTCTCAAGACTCTTACCCTGGAAGACTTCTTAGAATCAGAGCGACACAAGCTGACGGGCACCCTCACCCCCGTTACGCCTGAATCGTTCGCCAAGTGGAAGAAGGACCGTCTAGACAAGAAGGCCGCCGAGGACCAGGCTCGCGCCGCCAAGGAGAACACAGGTCGCGCGCTGTTCGAGAGCGGCAAGTGGCGCGATGAGGATGAGTCTGACTCCGACGACGATGACGCCTGGAATCTCGAGAAGTTGCGACAAGAGACGGAGGCTATTCGTGTAAAGAAGGAGGAGGATCGTCTGCTATCTTCATACCAGGGCGAGGCATCGGGCTCGGCAACACCTGCTGAAGCAACGGCGCCGACACCCGAGGCTGGGCCTGCGGGGGCGTGAAGGGTTCCGGCCGTTGCTGGACGTTAAGGCTTGTCCGTTGATGACACATTGGTGTAGGAACAGCGGCAGTTCCGAGCACTGCTGAGGCCGCTTCTATTGCGTAGAGGTGGCCTCTGCTGGACAGGAGACGGCTGAGCTCCGTGATGGAGGACCGGGCGTCTCTAGACGATGGGCTGATGTCTATCTGCATCGCATTATCAAGTAGCGTGTCACTTTAGATGGGAATGCCACGCATTCTGGGGCTTCTACTCGGTTCACAGCAGCTTGTGGTTCCCGGCCGTGGATGCTGCAGGTTGCACGGCCTCGCACATGGGGCAATGCTCCACGCCTTGCTCCCGTGGCCATGGGCCGTATCGTCGCACAGCTACTACCTGATAATATGGCAATGGCCCGTTTCACCAGCATGTCGCGGGCGGCCTCACTGCGGGGAGGTGTCGTCCGGGTGCATGTATGCAAGTTATGGCTTGGCGCAGCCCAGCTGCGCTCGCGAATATGGCAGGGCAAGGTGTTGCTTGCATGGCCGCCCCCTCCCGGAGCATGCATACACACATTGGATGCAGTGGCGGTTGTCATGGATGGAAATGCGACATGTGACGGCGAAGCACGAGACTATTGATGGGGTAGAGTCCAGGTATCGCCCAACGCCCGACGGGCAGGCGCTGTTGGCAGCGAGGTTTGGGTGCGACTTTGGTTGTACAGGGGGTCAGCGTTCCTGACCAGCAGTCGCCGCGGGGGAACGTGGCCCGGCGATGCTGGGGTGCAGGGGATCGAGGAAAGAGGGGTCTTTCTGGCGATAGACGGTTGCTGGCGGCTGGTGGTATCAGAGGGGGGCCTTGGACTGAGCGACCTCATGCGGCGGCGTGGCCTGTGCGCCCGCCCCTCCCAGGCCGGCATCTGAAGGGATGGAATGGAAGATTGAACTCAAGGAGCTTGCGGTTCGTTCGAGTATGGGGAGCCAGCCACGTACCGGCGGCGGAGGGGCGAGGTGAAGTTGAGGAGTGAGCGGCCAACGGCACGCTGGCGATTGGCGGCGGGGTCGATGCGCCAGTAAAGTGGAGCTGGAGGCGGCTGCCCTTGGGTCGGGGAGCTCGTCTCAGTGCCTCACAGGCATGCGGCACTGCGGCCAGCGGTGCACCAACAGGGATGCACCAACGCGCACCAGCGTGCACCTGCCGCATCATTGATCACTGATCGAACCGCTAGAGACGGCGGCGGCGGCGGCGGCAGCGGCCCACCCGACACCATCCGTCCGCCGACAAACCGTCCCGCGGCACTCACTGCCTCCACTGCCCGAGAGCTCGGCTACCTCGAGTCACCACCAGCACCACCACCTCACAGCTGCTAGGTCGAACCTAACCTCTGCACCCGCTGCACTCCCAGTCGCCGGCTCTGGCTCACTTGCAGGCGGCATTGGGCGGCCCCTCAATTGCCCATCCATCCATCACAGCTCCACCTCTCTCGCCCTCGTGCATCTTGTGCCTCTCTTCCTCTTCCACGACTCCGCACACTCGCTTTCCTCTTTCCATCTCCTCCGGCCGCCACCCATCCTCCGCTGCCATCGCCATCTCCTCCGACTCGACTCATCGCCGGCCGGCGTCTCGAACACCATCCTCGGAGCAGCCCGCCTCTACTTACGCAGGCGCCCCATCAAGCTCCCGACCCCCCCGCTCCGACCGCCCGCCGCCGGTGTCGTCTGTCTGCTCCGCCCTCGCGTGAGAGCAGGCCCAAACACAACATACCCCCTTCATAGCACGGGCACGACGAGCTCCCGCCGACGAGAGCCCATCTGACGAGAAACCGTGGCCGCTGGCGACTGGTCGTGCTGCGTCCGCGCCCCAGACTCTGGTCTCGCCTCGTCGGGGCCGCAGTCTGAACGCGCCGTGGCCGTCCTCGCCCGTCGGCCCAAGCCGCACCATTCCCTCCTCGGGGACGAGCTGCGACCGTCCCCGTCCCCCAAAGCATGACTGCTGAGGCCACGCGTGGTCACCAAGATGTTCCAGACCGCCTCCCCGCGTCAGCAGCCATGCCTTCCCAGACCGGAGGAAGAAGAGACAGAGCCAACTCGCTCGTCTGGCGTTATCGCACGGAGATAGCCGCCAGCACGTCGAGCGTCTTCTCCACGCTCGCCGCCTTTCCGCTCGACAGCGTCAAGACGCGCATGCAAACCTACCAATATCGCGGCTTCCTCGACTGCGTCAAGCGCACGTACCGCACCGAGCATCTCGCGGGCTTCTTTCGAGGCAAGCCTCTCCCGTCCCCTTCCCCTGGCCTGCCATTCACCTGGCAGCTGGGCGGCGTCGCTGCCACCCGGTCGCCAGGTGTAGCGCACCTCGAGTGTACATACTAACCGCCGAGGCGTCCAGGCGTCACGGCTCCCATGGCCAGCATCACCCTCGTCCGCACAGTCTCCTTCTCCATCTACCAACGAGCCAAATACGCCTACTCCGGCTGGGTCAAGCAAAACTTCGGTTACGACATCATTCAACACGTGAACCGCCCCGGCACATACCCCAACCTCTGGTCGATTGCTTGCTTCGGTGCGGCTGGCGCCACGGCGGGATCCGCTATCACCTTTCTCGCCTGCCCCTTCGAATTGACCAAGCTCTCGGCGCAGGTCTCTGTGCTACTGGCGGAGCGCGCCGGCGGCTGCCAAAAGAGCCGTGCGGTAGCTTCAAGCTACCAGAACAAGGGGACGCTGCGAACCATGGCCAACATCATCAAGCACCGCGGCGTCTTGGGCCTCTACACGGGCTTCCGGCTTCATCTCTGTGCGTCCCGAACCGTCCTCTCCCGCCAGACCACGTGTTTGTCGTCGCTAACCGCGTCCTGCAGTGCGCGATACCCTGGGCACGTCAATCTACTTTATGGTGTACGAGAGCGGCAAGCAATTGGGAACGACATTCGCCGGCGACAGCCCAAACAGCAATAAGTTGGCTGTAGTTGCAGCCGGCGGCATGTGCGGGCTCGTGTCGTGGGCCATGATTTGTGAGTCGCTGCACGCGCCTTCTGCAGGGCCTGGGCGCACCGCAGCTAACTGATCCTGTAGATCCCATCGATTCTGCCAAGAGCATCTACCAGCGCAACTCGCTCCTCCACTCACGTGGCGAGAAGGTCGACCCGGCGCCCAAGATCGAGTTCTTCAAGCGCCACATGTACCGCGGACTGGGCGTGTCCATGAGCCGGTCCTGCGTCGTCAATGCCATCTTCTTCTCGTCCTTTGAGTTCATTAAGAAGCGCATCAAGGAGGACAACAAGCCCAAGGGTGCCATTTGACACCGAGGAAACCGATACCGCGGCCGATGCAAGAACTGGAAGCTGCCAAGGTGCAGGGAAAGGCCATCTCTGATTCGATTATGTTGTTTTTCACTCTGGCTTCCCATTTTTCGAGAAACGGCCTGGGAGGCATAGGCGGTATGCATCACGACGAGTTGGGCGTTGAGGTCCTCAGAGTATGATTTTGCTTTCCGCCGTTCAATCTCGCCCTCGGCAGGGATAGGGATGCTTGAGGAGAGCCGCCGCGCAGCAGACAGAAAGACGATATGACGTCGGACACCGTGGCATCCGACGAGAGAAACGACAACGTGCGTCCCATTGTGGTGGAATGACGGTCACTGGTCATCATTCCGCGAGCTGGGCCGTGTTATGTAGCGAATTGAATTGCGTATCTAGTTCCCAGGCTGCCGCTCACCTAGGACGTCTCGTTGACTGCGACGTGACGCGCAGCCGTGTATTCGTACCCTCGATGAGTGGCTGCGTGGCGCGTGGCCCAAAGGCATTGAGCCTTACAACACTCGTTGACGCACTATGGATAGTTTCACAGACTCCTGCACGTTGCATCGCCTACAGAAATCGACGTCTTCGTGCTCACCATGGGCCCCGAGCAGCGTCTACCACCTGCTACTCGGCGGTTTACACGCGGAGGCTTTACGTAGGAGGTATAGCGCCGCGACCTAGCCGATACTAAGGTAGTAGACCCAAGGACGAAGCAAAGTCATATCAAATCTTGGGCCATTTCCCACTCGGGCAAGTAACTATCATCAGGGGCCGGCACGCGTGCATCATAGCTTGCCCTACTTCGTAGTCGTTGTCGTTACTGTTGCGGTGTTGTCGTTGTTGGTGTCGTCGTTCGGCCCTCGGCGACCATGCTCCAGCAGCCCCTCCGCCGCTGCAGCGCGCCCCGCCATGGAGACCACCTGCGAAAAAAAAATAACAGGGGTCCTCTCTCCTTCTCCCCGACATCGGCCGGTAGCGGCGCCACAAAAGGTGGGCTGCCCAACGTGCCCGTTGACATCCATGGCTTGAGGAAGTGGTGCATGGCCTGGTCGTGTCTGGGTTGTCTCCATTTCGCCGGCTTGAAGAGTTTGGACGAGTAATTGATACTGTACGGGGTACGTAGGTTGGGCCCTGGAATGTACAACGTGGGTAAGTATGCTGCTATGTCTGCATCGTGCTATATTGTACGGAGTACAGGATCAACAGAGGGGCCCATCATGCACGGAAACCCGTAGCGCTTTTGTTTGCTTGTTTGCTTGTTTACTTTTATCGCGGCCTACATACAGTACCTGCGTACGTACGTACTTGGTCTCTCTTTCTCTCTCTTTCTCTCTGTTCCCGTCGGCGACGCTGCATGCCGCCTGTGATCTTGCGACACTGCTGCCCGCCAAGAGTAGCAAGAACGTGTAAACAACCAAAATCCTCATATAAAGAAAGAGAAAACCATAGGGGCAGTAAACCATCCTCGGCGGGCGGTGACACTCAGTGACAGCATTCGGATCAACACCACAACCACGGTCCATGTCCAAAACCCGCCCGCCTTCCTCTAAGAATGCTTTTCCCCCGGAGGAAAGACCAGAGCCGAAATACAACCAAGCCGCCCGTCTTCCCCTCCGAAAACAGCGCAAGGGCGCGCAAAGGCCATAGGCGAGATGAATGCTAAATTGACAGAGAAGAAAGGGAGAGGGGAACAGAAAAGGTAATGAAGATTAGAGCGAGAGGTCTTCTCGCTCCGTGCAAAGAGCCATAGAGCCGAGATAAACCAACATGGAACTGGATCTACGGATGGCTTCGCTGACGACAGGTGTCTCCAAGGTTCGGTTGCCATGGCGGCTCCGAGTCCATGTCGACCAGTCCGCGGAAAGGTTGTGAATGTGTCCAAAGTCTTTTGGCGTTGCCCGTCTATGCCTCCGACAGCTCCTGCTCGACCTGTGCCTTGACCAGGTCGCGAACCTTTTGCCAGTCGTTCTCCACGTCGCTGACGCGCTTCTTCTTCTTGTCCAGGCCGATGAACTCAGTAGGGAGCACCTGCTTCTCAAAGTCAAAGCCCTCCTCTTCCCGCAGAGCCATGTCCACGGCACCCGAGAACTTCGCCGGATGGGCGGTAGACAGCGAGATGTGGTGGACGCCGGGGCCGGCGCGGTCCACGGACCGCAGAGTCGCGGCGACGCCCACGGCAGTGTGGGGGTCGAGCACGTAGCTCACCTCGCGGTAGAGGTTCTGGATGGTCTCGATGGTCTGTGTGTCGTCCACGCGCTCGCTCTCGAAGTCGCGCTTGGCGTACTTGAGGACGTCCTGGTACACGGGGCCAAAGGAACCCGTGGTCTTGAGCTCCTTGAGCCACTTGCTGACCTCTTGGCCGGCCTGCTTCTTGTTCCACAAGTCGTCCATACCCGCCGACGCCGCGAATTCGTATGCGAGGAACCACAGTAGGCGCTCGAAGTTGCTCGACACGAGAATGTCCATGGCTGGGCTGAGCGTCTCCTTGACGCCGTCTTCGTGTGCCAAGACGCCGTCGACAACCAGGCCACCGCTGGCCTCGGGCCCTTGGGCCTTCTTCTTCTCGTACTTGCCCGACTTCCAGAACCGATCCAGGATGTCGTTCTCGTTGGTGGCGATGACAAGCTTGTCGACAGGAAGGCCCATGCGCATCGCGAAGTAGCCCGCCAGGATGTCGCCAAAGTTTCCTGAAGGCACGACGAAGCGGACCTTGTCGCCGAGCTTGAAATCGGACTGCGACTTGACCAGGGAAAAGTAGGAGTGGAAGTAGTAGACGATCTGGGCGAGGATGCGCGCCCAGTTGATCGAGTTGACGGCACCGAGGTTCAACGACTTGTTGGCATCGCCATCGGCCAGGATGGATTTGAGGATATCCTATTGTAGCGTCAGCAGGTTGTCTCTCGTTCGAGGTCTCTCGGTCGTTTGTACCTGGCAGTCGTCGAATGTACCCGAGATGGCAAGGTTGTGGACGTTCTTGTCAGGCACCGTCGTCATCTGAAGCTCCTGGATGGGGCTGACACGGCCCTTGGGGAACATGATGAAGACGGAGACATCTTGCTTGCCTCTTAGACCGTAGATGGCCGCAGAGCCGGTGTCGCCGCTGGTGGCGCCGACGACGGTCAGGTGATGTCGGTCTGATGCGATGTTAGCTCACATGCCGGAGACTGCGCATAGCGGAAGTGTTGGGTCGGTCGGCTCAAGTGCCGCTCGCGCGCATCTGGGGTTGCGTGCAGGCGGGGGAGCAGAGAGACGAACGCACCTTTTCCCGTCTTGCCCTTGTTTTTCCTGACCAAAAAGTACTCGAACAGGTTGCCGAGGAACTGCAGGGCTACATCCTTGAAGGCAAAGGTCGGCCCGTGGAAGAGCTCCAGCAGGTACTGCTTGTCCTGGAGATGGACGAGGGGCGTTGTGTCCTTACTCCGGAAAGTAGAGTAACTCCGGTCGACTACGTCCTTGAGGTCGGCGCGGGGGATCTCGGAGGGGGAGATGTAGAGTGAGAGGATCTCAAGGGCGAGCTCGGGGTAGCTGAGGTCCTTCCAGCTCTGCCAGGAGGAAGAGGCGTCGGGGATCGCTTCGGGGATGTACAGGCCGCCGTCGGTGGCGAGGCCCTTGAGGACGACCTCCTCGAAGGACAACTGTGCTGCTGTCAGCAGACTGGGTCTTGAAACAACATTGAAGCTGCGGCGCCATTGGCGACGAGTGATTGCCGTCGCAGCGCATTGATCGTTTCAGCGGCGAGAGGGGAAGGGCATGGAGGGGCAGCGAGCACGGGCGACGACGGCCGGCGGGGTGGAAGAGGAGGAGGAGCAGCAGCAGCATGAGGAGGGCATTCTGGGACCTACGCCGTAGTCTTCGCCGCGGGTGCTCAGGTACCGCTGCGACTGGGTGTGAGTCTGGGCGGACGACCCGTTCTCGACGTTGCCGTTTTGCGCCATGGCGTTTGCAGTCGAGACAGCGTCGTCGGGGAAGTTTCGGTGAGAAGGGGGCGGGCGGGCGGCGGCAGCGGCGCGGGTTGCAGCACGAATTTGCGGGCTGCGGTGTTGCGGTGGCCGGAGGAGGAGGGGTTTTGTCTCGTTGCGTCAACGGGGCCGAGTGAATAAGACGGTAGGTAGTAACTGACGCCGAAAGAAAGAAAAAGCGAGCGGTGACTCGGGGGGGAGGGGGAGAATGTCGCGCGCAAAAACGCTACTTCTCAACGTTGCAGGGACGAAGGCCAATGCAGCGACCTCCCGATGCAATGGGTGATGACGGGGTGTCGAATTGGGGGAGGGGGAGGGAAGATGTCGACAGACGCAACGGCGGAGAGGGGACAAAAAGTCGGTAGCAGGTGGGAGGTTTTGGCGGCCCCCTCGCGGTGAGGTGAGGCGCCGGGGCCCGCGCCTCAGGCACTGGGCTGGGGGCACCGGACCACTGGGACGGACGCCCACGTCGCCGCTGGCTGCACTCCAGCCAGCGGGTGCGCACCTAAGTCGGAGCGCAAAAAGAGTCAGGGCAGCCAGTCGCCTCAGCCAACTTTCAGGGCCTCCTGGTTCGGCGCGCGCGCCCCCCCTCTCGTCCCCGATTGCGCCTAGTGCGGGGTGGGTTCTGGCCACACCTCCAGCCACGCTGCGAGGAATTTCCATCAGTCCATTGGACTCGATTCGTCGGGTCGAGCTGGCGTGCCTGAAAGGGGAGGGCGTCCGGGTCCCTGGGCGATTGTGCCAGCCGCTGGAGCAATGGGTGCGCTACAGGCACCCGACAGCAGCACTGCTGCACTTTTCAGTGTAATTTGAGGCGAGCAACATCATGCTATGGTTGTCACTCGAATCGGCTCTAGCATCGCCCAACCTCGCTCTTCCGTCGCCCAGCAATCGACCACCTAATAGCTGCATACCACCATTCCGTGTCGACGTCGACGCCGTCCAGCCCTCTCTTCCCCCCGCTCCCATCCATCGACGCAACCGCCAGCCAGCCAGCCAGCCAGCCAGCCAGCCCACCGTCCGTCCGCCGTTTGTTGTTCAAGCCCCGCCGCCTTATTAGCGCTCCGTCATATGCGTCCCCCGGTCGGCCTCGGTGCCGATGCCCGTCGACCGAACCGGCCATGAGTCCATGACCCATGGGAACGGAGACCATCAGACGCACCGACGGCGCTCTCCAAGCCCTACCCGCCACGGTACCGTGTGGACACGACGCTTGTGTTGCTGCTGCTGCTGCTGCTGCTGCATATGATCTTACCTTACATCGTCCCCCGTCTCATAAACTATCTGATATGCCTTTGCCGCGAACCTTGCCGGGGCCAGGCATGCCGTCCGTCCTCCTCGCCTCGCCTCACGTCGCCCCGCCTCGCCATCAACGCGACACTGACCGGACGGGCCAGCCATTCGTCCGCTCTGCTCGCCGATCATTCTGCCTCGTGGCTCCTCTCGCCGTGCCGCCTGCAGGCACACAGAGGTAAGGTAGTTATGCAGCAGGTCGCATGCTCCGCGAGCTACCGCCAGCGCTGCAGAGGTGCCACGGCTCCGCGCATGCAACCCGCTATGCAGACCGATCGTCATGGCGCGTCGTCCCCTCAACGCCTGGTTGGCTCCGCAGCCTCTCGCGTTGGCCTGCCACTGTTGGCTTTCTGTGCCCTTTTGACTTTGATCAAAGGTACCTATAACATCCATATTTGTCGTCTGGCCAAGCTTCTAATCTGGCTATCTCGCGCGCTGACATGTATTACACGGCTGCCGTCTTCAATGCCTGCATGCCTCGCTGGCTGCTGCCATCGTGACGTGACGATGCAATTCGACTCTCCGCTGCTGCTCGTGTGAAACCTGGCCAGTCCCAGTTCACAGCGCTCGTTCCGCACAGCTGCTCAAACCCGCATCATGCTTCCCTCCCCAAAGCACAGCCTCTCCTCACTTGCGCAGTGACTTCAGAAGCGGCGCTATTCTCAGTCGTTTACTCAGCCCGACACGGTAGACCGGCTTCCCAGCACTGTCCAGCTTCGAGGCGCTCTGTCTGTTTTGGAGATCTCCATTCTTCTGCAGTTTCCTCTCCTCTCGTACAGGTGTCTGCTGTCCTGCACTTTCTGGCACGCAAGCTTCCACGGGATCTGCAGGGGTCTCTTCCAGCCCGCCTGGTATCTCTGCCTTGCCGGGCGACTTTTGCGGCGGTTTCGTGGTAGAAGTTGGCAGGCTCGGCTCCTTGTCCACGTCACCCTCGGCTGTGTGATACCCCTCCGCGACGTGACCGAGCTTCTCATCGGTGGCCGCCTGCCTGTGTGATGTATCATGAGTGACGGACGAGCCCTGGTCGTCCTTGGCAACGGTCTCTGATTTCTTCGGTCTCCCGCGTTTCCGCTTGGGCTTGGCCGCAGATTCTTGGGCTGCTGCTGTTGATGTGACATCCGACTTGTCTTCTCCACCCTTCTTTGGACGCCCTCGCTGTCTCTTTGGTTTTGCCTGCTTCTCCGGGGCGGCGTAGTCAGAAGCCTCGTCTTCCTCCACCTTGGATGCCACCCAGACCTCGTCGTCATCACCTGCGCTGTGGGACTCCCTGGCCGCCTCAGCTGTGCTTGTGCCAACTTGCTTCACCCTCGTGGCATTGGGTTTTGGCGTCTGCGTTGGCGGAGGCATGGACGTAATCACGTCTGGGGACGAGTTTCGCCGTTGTCGTGGTGTTGGGCTGGCTCGCCTGGTGGCCCTGATCATCTCGTGTTCTGGTGTTCTCACTGTCAGGCCAGCGTCGTAAGAAGACATCATGTGGCTTCTCTGCGTGTTGACGTTTGTCGCAGTTCCGCTGGATCCTACTGCAGGATTGCGTAATTCCATCGCTCTCATAGGAGGGCTACTGGACGGTGCCTCCATACTCTGGTACTCGAGCTTCTGGCTTGCAGAGAGTTGTTTTGGAGCAACGAGGAGAGGTGTTGAGGCTATGTCGGTTGGCGGTCCCATGCCTCCGTTGCCGGCAACCTCTGTGCTGTTGCTCTGTGACGCCACCGATTGCAGTTCGCCATCTAGAGGTAGCTCGACTAAGCTCACATCGTTGCTGTCTTTCTGAGAGCGCCTGGTGCCCCCTACTTTTCTCCTCTTCCGCCGCTCCTGGACTGGCTCGTCGTGATTGTCGTCACTAACGCTCTCGTACCCGAGCCGTTCCAGATTCTTGCGCAGGCCTCGGGTGACTTTTACGGACGTGGTTCGCTTGGCGGCCAATGGCTTGACCTTCTTTGCGATTTTGGCTTCGGGGCTGCTTGGGATGTCCCAAGGGTCGTCTCGAGCCCCGGTCCGACTCGGGGGCGCCTCTTGACCCGCAGCGTCGGCTGGCTCAAGGCCGCCATCCGCGCCGAAATTCAGAGCTTGCTGGTCTGCAGCAGCTTTGTGCTCGTTGTAGATGCCCTGGAAGAACGCCGGGTCCGTTGAGTTTGTAGCAAGACTTACACGATCAGAGGATCGTGTCGGCAAGAGCAGCCCGTCGTCAATGGGTCCTCCGGGGGTCAAGGCAGGGCTTTGTGCGCCATCGGAGTCGTCGTCTGAATCGGCAATGATGGCCGGAGGCATATCGCGAGCAATATGAAGAAGTGTCAGGTCCTTGTCTTGCTAATAGCCGCTCCAGGTCCTCCAGAAACGAAGGAGGGCTGAGACGCGATGAGTGTCTTGGGCCGGCAGCGACTCCACGACGCGAAGCCACGTGACTCCCATTAGGCCCAAAAGCATTGGCCACACAACCAGGGCGCCTCGCCTCCAGCCTGCCAACAAAACGGACTTCTCCAGTCCGTAGCATTGTCGCTCGGGCACTCTTCGTACGTGTACCATTCTTCCATCCCGGCCGCCACTGGCAAAATTGCGATTCACATTCAATCAGAGGCCCGAGGCTCAGTGTAGTTGCCCAGGTTGAATCGGGTATATCATTACGCTGTATGCTCTCTACTACTTGCACATCCTTTCGTTTTTCGTGATTCCAACCGGCAAATGGTATCGTCAGCGTGGTCTGTGGGTATCAACGTCCCCCATCGGACCACCTTCTTCCCCTTAACGCCATCTTGTTGAAGACAACTTGGCTGAGTTAAATTCCTTCATATTGATGGGAACTTCCAAAGTTGGGGCCCCTAAGCAGGGGCGCAAATGCACATAATGTTGAATGCTCGCCAAACCGTCATCCATACCTGTTCCCATTTTGCCCTCAGTTGTAAACTTTTGGGATGCATCAAAAACACATCTCGTCGTCACCCCATCCATAAACGCCGATGTTGAAATCGTAGCCGGCTTAAAGCAAAACGAGGCAAGATCTCTCGTCAAATCTGGCAATCTAGTTGAACAAAGTCCCTCACACGCACGCGCGCCATCAACTCAGGATGCGGGCTTTCGCGCCGCACCTCGGAGTCGCTTATTTGGCGTACTTGGTGCGGAAGTACTTGGCGGCGTTGACCATGTTGACCAGAGCCTCCTTGGTCTCCTTCCACTGGCGGGTCTTCAGGCCGCAGTCAGGGTCGATCCACAGCTGGTCGGGCTTGAGGTACTGAAGCATCTCCTCAATGCGGTCCTTGATCTCCTGCTCGCTGGGAACACGGGGAGAGTGGATGTCATAGACACCAGGGCCGATGTGGCGGGGGTAGGCAGAGTCGACGAAGACGCGGAGAAGCTTGGCGTCAGACTTGCTGTTCTCAATGGACAGGACGTCAGCGTCCAGGGCGGCGATGGCGTGGAAGAAGTCCTGGAACTCGGAGTAGCAGAAGTGGGAGTGGATCTGGGTGGCATCCTCGACACCAGAGGTGGAGAGCTTGAAGGCCTTGACGGCCCAGTCGAGGTAGGCATCGCGCTCCTTGCCGGAGCGGAGGGGAAGACCCTCACGGAGAGCAGGCTCGTCGACCTGGATGACGTCAACGCCAGCCTTCTCGAGGTCAACAACCTCGTCGCGCAGGGCGAGGGCGAGCTGCTGAGCCTGGACGGACTGGTGAACATCATCACGGGGGAAAGACCACCGCAGGCAGGTGACGGGACCCGTCAGCATGCCCTTCATGGGCTTGTTGGACACCGAGACGGCGTACTTGGACTCCTTGACCGTCATGGGAGCGGGGCGGGAGATGTCGCCGACAATGATAGGCGGGCGGACGCAGCGAGAGCCGTAGCTCTGGACCCAGGCGTGGGTGGTGAAGGCATAGCCGTCCAGGCGCTCACCGAAGTACTGGACCATGTCGTTACGCTCGGGCTCACCGTGGACGTAGACGTCCAGGCCAAGCTCCTCCTGGATCTTGACGTTGTCGAGAATCTCCTTCTCGATGAACTTGTCGTACTCAGCCTCGGTGATCTCACCCTTGGTGAACTTGTTGCGCTGGACGCGAATCTCCTTGGTCTGGGGGAAAGAACCAATGGTGGTGGTGGGGAACAGGGGAAGCTTGAGCTTCTTCTCCTGGGCGTCGATGCGGACGGGGAACTCCGACTTGCGCTTGTGGTCCTGCTCGGTGATCTTGGACTGGCGGTCCTTGACCTGGGGGTTGTTGGTGCGGGTCGAGGTGGCGCGAGCCTGCATGGACTTGGCGTTGGCCTCGAGCTGCTCACGGACGGCAGCGGGGCCCTCAGTGACAGCCTTGGCGATGACGGCAATCTCGACGGCCTTCTCGGAGGCGAAGGAGAACCAGTCAGCGACCTCGGGGTCCAGCTTCTTCTCGCTGGCCAGGGTGTGAGGGGTGTGAAGGAGGGAGCTGGAAGTGGCCACGATGACGCGGTCCTTGCCGAGCTTCTGGATAGCGGACTCGACGGTCTCGATGGCGCGCTTCATGTTGGTCTTCCAGATGTTGCGGCCGTCAACGACGCCGGCAGAGAGGATGGTCTTGGGGCCCAGAGCACCGAGGACGGTCTCGAGCTGCTCGGGGTTGCGGACGAGGTCGACATGGACACCATAGACGTCCTTGGGGAGAGCCTCGAGGTTGTGGACGATGTCGCCGAAGTAGGTGGTGAAGACAATCTTGGGGATCTTGTCACCGAGGGCGGCGAACTTCTCGTAGGTGGGCTTGAAAGCAGCCTTGGCCTTGGCGGGCAGGTCGAAGACGAGGACGGGCTCGTCAATCTGGACGGTGTCGGCACCAGCCTCCTTCAGCTGGGTGAGGAGCTGCTCGTAGACGGGGACGAGCTTGTCAAGCAGGTCAATGGGGTTGACCGACTGGCCACGGTCGGCCTTGCCGAGGTGGAGGAAGCTGACGGGGCCGACGAGGACGGGGCGGGTGTGGATGCCGGCCTCCTTGGCCTCCTTGAACTCAACGACGGCCTTGGGGCTGTCGACCAGCTTGAAGGTCTGGTTGTCCTGGAGAGTGGGCTTGACGTAGTGGTAGTTGGAGTCGAACCACTTGACCATCTCCAAGCTGGGGACGTCGACGCCCTCCTTCTGGTGGCCACGGCCCATGGCGAAGTACTGGTCGATGGTGTCAAGACCATCCTTGGTGTACCGCTCGGGAACGGCCTTTGAGAAGCACACGTCAGCAATCTGACCAGTTTAAAGAGGGATATGTCGAGGATGTTACTCACACCAAAGTCCTGGATGTGGCAGAGGACCTGGTCGTACAGGGCGAAGTCGTTGCTGGGGATGACGTCGACACCGGCATCCTTCTGGATCTTCCAGTGGGCAAGACGGAGGCGCTTGGCCTCGGCGAGGAGGTCGGCCTGGGACAGCTTGCCACCCCAGTCTGTGGCGGTCAGCAAACAGGATCAAGGCAATGAATATTCTGAAGGGCAGCTTACAAGCCTCCGTGGCCTTCTTCAGGTCACGGTTGACTCCCATGCGGGGGAAACCGAGAATTGCGGACTGAACCATCTTGACGACTGATTTGGAGGCCCTCAATTTACTGATTGGGTTGAAGACTCTGCAGGACAGGATTGTCAGCTGAGAGGGGCCTTGAAAGTGAGCCTTTTTCGGGAATCGTCGTACCTGATGATGAAGAGTCTCGAGTGATGCTGACAGCGGATCTACCAGTGAAGGAAGACTGCGACTGTACAGAGATGAAGCGTGATGGGAGGAGGGGAGGAAGAGAGAGGGTATGAAGAGAGAAAAAAAGAAGGAAGAAGAGGGAGGGGAGCGGGAGGCCAGCGGTGAAATGTGAGGGAAAAGACGGCAGCTCGCCGAAAGCGGGGGAGGGGTTCCTTGGTTGCTCTGGGTGAGGAGGGGCATCTCACGCCGCCAGGTAGAGAGGAGCCCCGCCACTCTCCCAGACCCAGAGAGCTCGGGTCGGGGGGCTGGCCCTGCTGCAGCCAGCATGAGAAACTCCGAAGCACACACAGTGCAGCAAGTAAGTCATTAGGTTGGACACAACGCCCCAGGACGCACGGGGCGGCCCAATCAGCGGCGCGGAGGGGCCCTCGGACGGGCGACTGACTGGGAGCATGAGTGGCTTTGGTCTGGTCCCCATGTCTCCCATCGTTATCCGAAGCGGACCCCGCGCTGCACCCTGCCCCTCCGAGTCCAATTTTTTCCTCGCCCGTCCAGGCACAGGACGCTGCCTATCGCTGGCACTAACACGCCTCGCCCGCGCAGGCTCTGCCAGATTGCGCCATCGTCGCCGCTCCAGTCGGCAACGTGCTCGCCCAGGCGGCCGGGCGGCTGTCGGGTCCGCTCGGCGCCTCGTACTCGGGTCCATGGCGCCATGGTGAGTCCGGCACCGATCATTGAGCAAAATGAGCACCATCTCGGGGACCGGCGCCCGTTGTCTCGGCGCTGTCGAGATGTTGGGTTGCGACTGCGAGTAGGAAAAGGCTCCGAATCCCCGACGACCCCTCTCCTCGCGGCAGTTGGCTGGACTGCAGACGTTGGCTCTCGCAGCAGGCTCAGCTACGGCGCCATCCGAAAGCTTGCCTGGGTTTTACAGTACCCAGGCAGGTAGCTTTTGGAGCAACGGGGTACTAGCACTGCTTAGGCTTGTTGAATTTTGCCTTGCTGTCGTCCGGACAGATTGTACAGTGCTGTACTGTGCAGTGCTCAAGAAGCTTCCAGCCCAAAGTAGGGAACAAGCTAGCAGTGGCGTGGCAGCTGGATCTGGCGTCTTACCTGACGCATCCAGCTCTCGTAATATGTGACACGGTTGCACCGGCTCGATCCCTAACAACATATTCAAGGCAACCTCCGAAGAAGGTTCTAGTAACGTGGGCGATGCAAGTATGGAATCAACCGTTCGTGGCATTTCAGAGCCGCATGTTGGTTATTTCAATCAGGAGCTCCTGTTGGTGCAGGATCTCAAGCATCAGTACGGAGTTGATGCGAGACAGCTGCTGCCTTCACCACATGGCGGAGATGGACAGACGTGCGCCGTCGAATACCGCCGCCGCTTCTCCCTGGAGCCCAATGAGGCGGGCGATCTTGAATGTGAGGGTTAATCGTACCACAACCCGCTCAATAGAGCCTGGCGATATACTAACGGCGTTCGGTATCCAATGCCATGGATCCAGGCCGGAGATGATGCCAGCCAGAATCAGACACAGAGCGGCCAGTGCATCAGCATCGTGCCTAAGCTACAGACTGATGCCACGATGACATGAAGTTGGAATCCTCTCAGTAATTGCAACCGAGGGCGAGCCATCTCACCTATCCAATGGTCAGATCAATGCCAACTTCGCCTGGTGCTTCCATGTAGAAGCTACGGCTCAGAGCCGTTCACGGAAGGCAGGTGCAGTGGAGGCTGCCCGACAACGCGTCCCGCGTGCCTGCCTCGTGGCTGCCAGCTGTGCCCAGCTGCACCCGGCTGCTCTTGACATGTAAATGCCGTGCACGAACAGCCTGCGCACCACGGGTCAGTGAGCCGTTTCAGCACCTCACCTCGCTCTGTTGGCACCAGGGCAACTCAGCGTCGACAATGTTCGGCCCGGCCACCTCGAATTGTCACCAAGTCTTCGCATCTCTTGTCCGCAACACCGCTATCAAGTGCACCATCTGAGAGGGCCACTAGCCCAGGAGGCGAACCAAAATGCAGCTCTTCTGCTGCTGTGGCCCTCGCCGCAAAGACAGGCGAGATGGCGACCAAGACGGCGAGAATGGCCCCTCTATCCAGGCCGTGATCCAACGTGGCCTTATCGACACTCCCCCAAGCGCCAGCCCGGCTCACGAGCTCGTCACCATTCAGCCTCCAACTCACGCGGCTCGTCAAAGTTCCCAGATATCCCCCGGGGAGGGACCGGTCGATCTGTGCCAGCTGGCTGACCGGGATGATCCTGAAGACGATGGCGATGACGAGCAAGACGATGCAAGCCAGTCAGCCAAAAGATCTACAAATACACTTGACGCGGTTCGCACCAAACTTATCCGTCACATGTCCCAGGACAATGAGGTTAAACGTCAGTCCCGTGCCGCCGTTGGTCACAGCGAAGAGGAGCTGGCCCGGCGGGCAGAATTGAGACGCTTCAGACAGAAGAGGATCCAAGACGAGCTCGAAGCTGGCGGCAGCATGGACGGCGGTAGCAGCAGGTCTCACTGGAGCACTCGATACCTCTCGCCGCTCATCGACCCCGGCCAGCCCGGTGGTGGCCCAAGGGACACGATAGAGTTTACCGTCGAGACCGGCGCTGCCTTTCATACGCCCTCTGTCTCTGCCCACGGAAGCCCTATGGAGACGACTCGAAGGCAGGTCAGCTGCCCTCAGCTCGTTTCGAACGACTGCAAGACCGCGGCAAGCCCCGTCAACCACGAAGAGCGCTGCCCAGAACCGGCTTTGACTGCGACAACTGCTCCCTCCCCACCACGGCCCTCGACGGCGCAGAGCATGAATGGCCAAACGGTAGCTGGCCTAGGCCTCAATTCTCCTCGTCTGGAAAGGGTACTTGGTTCTGACAACGATTTCGATATTCGGCATGGCTCCCACGCCTGGGATGATCAGTCGACTCTCGGTATTTGGCTTATGGCGCAAGGAATGCGGTCCAGAGATACATCACTGCTTCGTCTCGGTGAAGGCGAATCTGATGTATCCCCTGAAGGTGATGCCATGCACTCACCCTCCCAGGATTTCGGCGGAATCGATAGTGTTCTTGATACACCACCGTCTGTGAGCCAGGAGAATAGCATTGCCACGGCACTTCACCCCCATGAGGGCGGCGTGGATGCCTCTTGGCGACAAATGGCCGATGGCAACGCAATTGGAGCCACGACAGAGGAAGCAACTCTAGCTGAGGGCGCCGATCAAGGCCCTCTGAGCGTAAAAGTTACGAATTCTGCTGCGTCGGCTTCAGGCACCAACCTTGCTGAACGCAGCAAGAACAACCCCTCGTCGAATTACCCATCCGTTATGCCGAGCTTCGAGCCAAGCCCCGCTGACTCGACGGCCAACGGTCTTAGTCTCAGTCCACAGGATATCGAGAACCTCGAGCTGTCCCCGTTCCATTGTAAGTTGCGTCTAATCCTGCATGACAGCCAAATCTACTAACGCGCACACAATAGGGCAAGGAGAATTTCCCATATCTCGCGAGCTCGGTCATTCCGAGGGCCGGAGCTCCTACGCAACTGCGGAGGACGACACGTCGAACGCTGAAAACAATTACGGCATCCTTACGAATCTTCCACGCTCTCCTCACGCTGCACACAGCAGAGGCTCCGCCGTCGCTTCCGACACGACAAGCTTCCAGAGACGAGACTTTGAACTTCGGTCCATGGACCAAACGCTCACTGACGCCGCATCCCGGAAGAGCAGTCTGGCCACCCAGAGCCGCTTCAAGGAAGACCTTGGGGCGACATCGGCCCCAACCCCGGTGCGTACTTCTATCGTATCCAAGCTTCAGTCTTCATTTTCGAGACTGTCCCGGATAGGATCTGGCTCCTTCGGCCCCCCAAGTCACAAAGATGCTGCCTCTGAGGAAATAGGTCTGAAAAGCGAGGGCTGTGCGGCGCGGACAGACACTACGGCTACACCAGGAGAAGTATTACGCACCACGGGACGGGCACCTTGCAATAATTCCGCCACCGACCTGCAATTGAATGTAGGGGATGCTTTAAGAGGAGACCGCCGTGGTGGCGATCTAGGTCGTACTCTGTTCTCAGACCGTAGCCTTCAAAGTCAACAAGGAGAAAGTCTGTGCGTTGCTGAGAAGGTCCGAGAGGAACATGATGTTGCAGCTGGCGTTGTCGCTCAGAAGGCAGCTGCTGACAGAGACCTTGACGGAGCCATTTGGACACCACCTGCTGCATGGATTCAACACCGGAAAGCAACCGCCCGCGCAAGTTGCGGCGACCTGGTTATTCAACCTCGACAGCTTGCTCCAAGAGGCCTTGGCCCACAAAGCAAAATCGACGAACCTGACGCGGAGAAGAAAGGTGTCGTTGTGACATCCGCCGGAACCAACTTCCGGCATATCCCGCAGCGCTTGGAGAGGGCTGTCAAATCTGGCCTCGACAAGCTCCTGCACGTAAAGGAAGAATCCGCCAGCGGCATAGCAACCTCTGATTCGGGAAACAGCCAGAGACCACCGCGAAAACTGGACGCATTGCAGATTCCATCGGAGGGTTTCATTACAGCTAAGCAATGCCTGGAGAGAGGTGCTCTGAGGGACAAATGCAGAACTAAGGCTCCCATCGTCAAGCCTCAGAATCCCTACACAGCCAAGGATACAAAGAGAACGCCGATGGAAACTGGCTTTCCGAAAGTCAGAACAAGCAAATCCGACCAGAGATGCACGGAGCAGACCACTGTCACCGAAACATCGGGGTGGACCCCGGTCAATGCGGCTCGAGAGCAGGAACGTGATGTTTTCGTCACTCCAATGAGCCGTCTCCTATTCGATTCTCCCCAGGCTGGGTTGGTAACAACGCCGGCCAACGGCACGGGGCAACAGACTATTCGCCGGTGGAAATCAGCCGATGAGCCTGGAGGCGGCCCTCGAGTATCCCCACCTCGTTCGATTCGTTCGGCCATTCATCATTCTCACGAATAACAGCCAAATGACAGCAACATCGGTTTTGTCCCGCTGAAGAGACTCTATCCCGAGTGAGACGCTTCCGTCACCCAGAAATCGCAGGAAGGACTAGGTAATTCTGACCCTGGCGGCGGAACGTACTTGAATCGCTCAAGCCTCACGGCCAGCCGACTGCCATTCTGGATCGTGCCGAGATGAATTCACGTACAATGCGGTGAGCGTTACCCCCTTGGCCCGACGAGGCAAAATGTGCTGTGCGGCCACTTCCTTTGTGAAGTGCTTCGGCTTTACTGGACGTTAAGGCATTGTATCTGCATTTTATTGCAGTCTCTATTTTCTGTCGGCTATGTAGAGTTTTTAATCATCAGGTTTTTAAGGACCCATGTGCCCGTGATTTGACCGTATGCGTGTCCATGTACGCAATGTATATCGTCGGCAAGACCCATATGACAAGCCAGGGAGGGTTTCGGTGCTTATCCGGGTGCGGGTCTCCACGCATGCGGTTGATGGCCGCTTCTTTGTTTCTTGAAACAGCGCACGAGTTTGCCCGTGGCAGCTCCTCAGACAGCGTCCTCTTTTTCCCGCTGGGCGGCGCGCTCCAAACGCTGCCTCTCCTCTTCGGCCTTTCGCAGCATCTCCTCCTTACGCTCTCGCAAGGCGATGCAAAAGCGGGACTTGCTCCGTATCTTCGGCCCCTTCCAGATGAAGACGAAGGGGATGACGCACATGGCGGCGCTGAGGCCGCCGAGGAGGGCGCAGGCGCCCGAGATGCCGAGGCGGGCGAACATGGGCGTGGTGGCGAGGGGCAGGACGACGGCGAGGAGGGAGCGGCAGCAGGAGGCGGCGGCGTTGGCGGAGGCGGCGAAGATCTCGTAGGCGTCGGTGAGGTAGTTGAGCAGGGCCATGAAGATGAGCATGAAGCCCATGCCGAAGGGGACGCCGGCGAGCATGGGGGCGACGAAGGAGACGGAGTCCTTGGCGCTGAAGCCGAGCCAGAAGAGGGAGACGACGTACAATGGGCCGCCGACGCAGGCGAGGGGCACGCGGCGGTATTCCTCGCGCTGGACCCAGCGGTCGCCGCGGTCCTGGGCGCGCGCGAGGACGCCGTCCCAGTACCAGAAGACGGGCATGCTGAGCATGGCGCCGCCGCCGATGGGCAGGTAGCACAGGCCGGTGACGCCGGGGGAGAGGCCGTAGAGGCGTTGGAAGATGATGGGGAAGGCCTGGAAGGACATGTAGAAGATGGTATAGACGAGGGCGAGGTAGGCGCAGGTGGCGGAGACAATGGGCTCGGAGAAGAGCATGCGCAGGGGCCGGGTGAGGACGACGGTGAGAAGGCGGTTCAGGTCCGTCTCCTCGAGGTCGCGGGGGGCGACGACGCGCAGCGCTGGGTCCTCCTTGCGGAGCCGGCGTGCCCGCTGGGAGAGCAGGATCGGGCCAAACGTCTCGGGGACGAAGACGATGAGGACGAGCGTGGCGCCGGCGTACATGAGGGCGATCCAGAACGTCCAGCGCCAGCCAATGGTCGTGGACGTGAAGCCGGACACGATGGGCGAGAAGAGCGGGCCCCAGACGGTGGTCTACAGGCGGGCAACGGTTAGCATGCATGTCTTGGTCACAGCAACCAGGCGTTGGCGGAAAGCCATCTCAGCAACATACCACCATGAAGACGGCAAACGCCCTCCCCCTGGTCCTGGGCTCGCCGTAGATGTCGGCAAGAATGCCCGCCACAATGGCAATGGGAGCACTGGCAAACACTCCGCAGAAGAGCCTAAACACAAGAAGGGCAGGCCAGTTGGGAGCCAGGGCACACGCCATAGTAAAGAGGGAGAAGGCGATGAAGGTAACAATGGTCAGGTAGCGGCGGCCAAAGTGCTCGCTCAGTGGGCCCCAGATGATGGGCCCAAAGACATATCCTATCAAGAAGACGCTGATGGGGAGCACTTTCTGCGGCGTCGACGTGACGCCAAAGTCACGGGTGATGTTGGGGACGGCCATGCTCGGCAGGGCAGACCCCATGGTCGAGTTGATGACGAGCATGGCCGTGATGACGAGGACAAAGAGCTTTTTGGACTGAGGGCAGTGGTGTTAGCAACAACTAGAAAACCCCCAAACTACTAGTTGCATCGCAGGACTCACTGTTGGCCAGTTGTACGGGTTCTCGGGGTCGTTGTGCTCCCATGCGATGACCATTTCGTGTGTCCGGCTGCGCGTCCTGGAGCGGATGTGGTGCAGCGCGCCAATGCCTCGGTCCTTGGTCTCCTCCTCATAGCGCTCCTGGGCGTCCAGCACGTCCAGCTGTTGGATCCCATCTGCAAAATGGCTCTCACGTCGCCTCCCGCCTATATAGGTAGCAAACACAATCAGCACCGGGATGTGTTAATGCCCAAGTACAGCCCAGAGGGGAGACTCACGCTCTTCACGTGAAGCGGAGCGGTCCGTCATGGTCTCGCTCGAATCGCTCCGCGCCATTGTGCCAGTCGACTGCCTGCGCGGCTCATTGGTGAGTTGGCGGTGACACAAGCTTGTGTGTAAGTCAACTTGGGCCAACTTGCTCAGTGTCGCGAAAGTGAGACGGTTTGCATCCAACTCAACACCGGCAATTGGCGTCGACGAGAGCACACGGATGCTTGAGCACAGCAGCGACACAGCCCGGCTGGGAGGAGGATGAAATGAGGAGTAGGGCAACACCATCCGCGCGCACGCCACGGAGGCCCGATCGACGGGCCTGCCTCGAAGGGCGGACATGTCGTGGGGCCGGCCATCGCTCGCCAAGTACCGGGTTTAAACATCAAGGTCCTGTATCCCCACAGATTGCGGGCAATAGTCCCACACCGATTGGCCATGGGCGCCTCCGGGGCCGGCGTGGGGGACGAACTCCATGGTCATGGCGACGGCGGCCTCGAAGCGGGAAGGGCGCTATCAGCTTTGCGCCTGATCCGACGCTCGCTTGGGCAGCGGGGGAGGGGACATCGCCTGCCGGCCGGCCACCGGTGCGTCGAAGGCGAGCTTACAGAGTGCGAGCACGACGAGGTGCGAGCCGGTTTATGAGCAGCAAGGGTCCGCGGAATTTCCGTGGACTGAGCACGCCGGTTTATTTCCAGAGCCGTCTGTCAAGATTGTCTAGATGAGCACGATGCCACCCTCCACGCTACACGTTTGATCGATTTATCTCGCGCAGCTCGCAGCTTGATCTGGTTGCAGTCCGTCTTTCTTCAAACACATGTATAGGATTTTGCGTGCGCGGGCTTGCGGGCGTAGCCGTTTCGATGGTGGCGGATCGGATGGCGGATGCTGACCACCGGAAGCGGAACCGCGACCCGGCGGAAGAGCCCACCGGGCCCGGAAGACCTCAGCGCCACGGGCGGCGGATAATGGCTTCTCCTGCCGCCGTCTCAAGTCTCCAGATTGATCTGCTTTCCGAACCGCGCGTACAAGTCGACCTTGAGCTGCGTCATCTGCTCGCGGACCGTGCTCATCTTATCTTCGAGGGCCGAAATGTCGTCGTCGAGTCTCGTCGTCGCTGTCTCGAGCATCTCCTGCGCCTGCTCCAGGGGCACATGGAAGAATGCGTCGCCAATCTTGTATCTGTACCGATCCGGTTATTTAGCCAAGGTCATGGAGATCGTGTGCAGGGATTGTTCGCGTACTGTATCTTCTCGTCCTCGTCTGCGAGCTCCAGCTCCGTGGACAGGTCGTCAAGCTCCTCCTTTTCCTTCTGCGAGCAACAGTTAGCCCGCGCCGGGGATGGCGGAACATCCATCGCCGACGTACGTTCTTGGTCTTCAGCTCCTCTGACAAGGCCAGCTCGCGCTGGTGCAGCCGGCTGAACCTGTTGATCTTGTCCTGGTCCTCGCGGCGGACCTCGACCTCCTCGGTGGCTGCCTCGTCCTCCTTGGACAGCTAGAGCAAGGCCCGGTCAGTCGCTGTCGGCCATCTCGAGTGCGATTGCGAGCTCACCATGCGGCGCTGCATGAGCGAAGCCATCTTGGCGGGTATGAGGCTGGGGTGAGCAGGTGATGCCAAAGTTGCCGTGTCGTTCGAGTTGTTGGACAGGCACAACGAGAGAGCTCGCGGCCCCAAACCTCTGATCCGATGGTGGGGCAGTGAGGGCGCGACGGTGTCGTTGGCACTGTACAAGCAATTTGGCACTGTAGGACGCCGCCCAAGTAGGAGGGGACCCCTGGCGCATGAGCTCAGCGCCTCAGCCACTCTGATTGGATTCCCCGCATCAGCCACTGGCGAAGGCTTGAGCCACACGCCATCGTCTTGTTATGGACGTCTTGCTGCCTCCTGTATTTCTCCAGCTGCTCAACAACATTGTCAACTCCAGAACATCCAAGATGGCTCTCGGCAAGAAGGCATACCCCAAAGCCACGGTCAAGAAGATTGTCAAGGCTCATTCGGGCCTCAACCTGAAGAAGAATGCCGACGTCACGGTGAGCCGGACCTGGACGCGTTGGGATGCCATCGACGCGTCACTGACAAGTCTCTAGATTTTTCTGAACTATGTGTTGTTCATGGAGACGTAGGTTCTTGAAGGCAAGGCTGAGTTTACGCGTAGATGACTGACTTGCACTCCCAGCCTGGTCAAAGAAGCCGCCATCTACTCCAAGCAGGCGGGCGACCGTGGTCTCACAGCTCGCAGCGTCAAAAAGGTCACCCGGGTGAGCGCTCCCCGCCGCGCCCAGGCTTGTGAGGCTTAACTTTCCGCTAATCCCGTCTCTGCGCAGGATACTCTGGCCAAGTTCAAAGGCTGAATTGACGGCTCTCAATTCCGATACTCACAATGTGCGACAAGGTCGTGGACCATGCCTGGCTGTGAGCAGCCTGGTCAAGTTCACCAACGCACCTCGCAGGAGCTTGGTTTCTCCGGACAAAAGGCAACCGGAGCCAGCCCACGGAAGTCTATGCGCATAGAATGCGTCGGGACCGCGCGGCCCAGCCCGTGCATCGACGTCAATGGAGGGCTGCTCGCGAAACACGGCGCGGCATGGCACGGCGCTGTTGCCGTCACCATGGATGCAGTGGTGGAGTCACGCATGACAGGCAGGCAGGGTGCGGGGACGGATGGGGGAGCTGGGAGAGGAAGCGGGCTTGAACGTGGCGGCTGAGGGCACGAGACCAGCGACCTTAGACTTTTGCCGGCGCAATTGACCAGCCCTGGGGCCGTGCGGCGGCTCGCATGGGATGAAGAAGCTGTAGACGAGCCCAGAGTAGCCGACCTGTGAATCTGCAGCCGAGCGCAAGCCGCAGTGTTTGGCTTGTCCCGCGCATTGACTCCAATGACCAGGCGCTGGGTTCTAGAAATCAAGAGAAGAGTTGCGCCGCGCTACGCTGTGGGAACCGGCTAGCTCACCTGAGCTGCGGGTGGGTTGCCTGTGCAGTCACTCAGACCAAACGCAGGGCAGGGGTCCGTCCCGTCGCCTCCAGCTTCATCAGGCTCCAAAAATCCACCTCTGCTCTCCTCTTCTCTCCACACTCGCACTCCAACAACCTGAACCTGCACTCTCGTCGCAACGCCTCCCTCCGTCCCCGAATAACACGTTCCCGAACGAGACGAACGGTCTCCCACCACTCCCACGGCATTGCACCGACCCACCGCCTCGCCCAGCAGCAGCAAGTCAAGTGCTGCTCGCCACAGCTCAGCCCTACACGAGCTTCACCAACCGTCCACCCAAAACAGTCACAACCCCCTACTCCGCGGTGCACCGACCTCGACATGGCGATGTCTGCTACGCAAAACCCTTCCAAGTCTTCCAAGAAGAAGGCGGCTCATGCCATTGAGCGCACCGAGTCGCCCGCTCCCAGCACTGGCTCGGGCGCCGCCGACAAGGCCAATGACTCTCAGGACGAGGCGTTCGAGAGCCCCTACATTAAGGAGCTCCAGAAGTGCGTGCCATGTCTCGCAATGCAATAAGTTTTTTGTTGCATTCGAGAAGCTAATCTGTGCTTCACACAGGAACATTCGCAACATCAGCAAGAAGATTGTACGTGCCCGTTTGCCGTCTACTCGCAATACTTCACGCGTGAACTTTCGACTGACACTAGTTCCTCGCAGACTCATGCCTCCAAGACCGATGCCCTCCTGAGCCAGCATGCTGGAAAGACCCTCGACGAGCTTGTTGCCGCCAAGATCATCAATGCGGACCAGAAAGCCCAGGTCCTGAAGAAGCCTGCTCTGCAAGCCCAGGTCACCCAGCTCGAGGAGCAGCTGGCCCAGTACCAAAAGGTCCACGAGCAGTACCGTGGCCGGGCCACGGCCGAAAAGGCCGAGTGGGAGATGTCGCTGGAAAAGGCCAAGGCTGACGCAGTCGGCGAGGCCAAGGCCGAGTTCGCCAAGTCCCTCCGCGATAACCTCCTTACCCTGTCACAGTTCCTCCGCCTCGCGGCGTACCGACGTGAAGAGGCCAAGGACCCCGAGTCGGACGAGAGCCAGGCGATCGAGGGCGTGCTTCTGGCCATCTATTCTGGCGACGATGGCGCCGTTGCGTCCATGCTCAAGCTTATCGAGGGCTCCGACGACCAGGTCCTGAGCGTCCCCGGAGAGCAGCTGCAGACGACTTGTGAGTGCTTCTTTGTCTGTGTATGTGACAATGAGACATCTGGCTAACAAGCAACAGACTCGAGCGTCAAGGCCCTCGCACGGGAGTACAAGACGCCCTTCTACGCCGAGGGAGGCCAGCCCGTCGAGTCGGAGCCCGCCCAGGAGGTCGTTTCCGACCCTACCATGGCCAACGCCTCAGCGACCGAGATTGCCGCTGGCGACGCCGCCATCACTGAGCAGCAGCAGGCCACCGAGCCTGCTTCCAACGGCATTGCGAACGCCAATGTCACTGACGAAGCGGCCAATGCCGTGGCCGAGAGCCATTGGGACGGTGGAAACGACGCCGCCATCTCCCAGGAGTGGGTAGATGTCAAGGTTCCCCGCGATCCTGCCGAGACGGAGACTGGCCTGACTGCCACGCCTGCTGCGGCGGCCAACACCCAGTCGTGGGCCGATGACCAGCCTGAGCCCGTGTCCGAAGTAAGAAGCACTATTCATCGTGTATTGTTGTGCGCGTGAGCATGCTAACGGAGTTGTAGCCTGCCCCTGCTGCCGCTGCCGACCCCAACGATGGCTTCCACCAGGTCCAGCGCAACCGCGGTCGACAGGACCGCGAAGGCGGCACCTGGCGTGGCCGCGGTCGGGGCGAGTACCGTGGACGCGGACGCGGTGACGGCCGTGGCCGTGGTCGTGGCCGTGGCAACGGCGGTGCGCCATCCCGAGGCCCCCGCCGCTCCGAGGAGTCGTAGAGCAGTGGCCACAGTCGCGTTACCCGGCCCAGCCTAGCTGCCTGCCTCCCAGCTTCTTCTTCTTCTTCTTCTCCTCCCAGCGTGTTTCGGAAGCGATTGTACATCATGTCATGGCGGCGTTTGACCAGGTTTTCGGCCGGATCGGCGGATCTGATTTTGCGGCACATTTGGGCATTGCATTGGTTTTTCAAAAAGAAAACAAAAATTTTCTTCTCAGCTCCGAATGCTGTTGCTCCGGATGGGGATTTTGGGATTTGGGAAATCGGAGAAGGGTGGGGAGGGAAGGCCGGCGGACTGGCGCCCTGGATGCATGTTGCTGGCGAACGGGTTTACGAGGGATGAAGACTAAAATGTACAAGAAACCGTCATGATGCAACGGAACCGAGGCTCTTTCGTGGCCGTCCAAAAAATGGCTGCCCCAGAGGCAATGGTAATATGTGGCCCTCTGTCGTCCCTGTGAAGTATATGTACTGGAAGTGTAGGCTGCTCAGACAGCTGCCTTCATGAAAGGCTCGTATCCGCTCTGCCTAGCCGCCTCCTGATGAAGCTCGTAACGCAGGCTAGAACAAAGCTACCTGTTCTCCTCTTCGTGCGAGAGATAGGCCTTTGCCTTAGCCTTCAGGGACGAAAGCCTGGAGCGCCTGGCCGGCGCCCTGGCATCCACGATCGACGGTCGCCGAGGTGTCTCCTTCCGCACTTTATCAACCTTAATGTCGTCGTCTTCAGGCGGTGAAGAGTTGTAGGGCCTGGGTTTCGGGTTGCGAGTCAACGACCCCCTGCCAGTGACCCCGTTCATTATGGCGGAGACGGACGCCAGTGAGCTGGCACAGTCCGACTCGCTCCCGTCGCCCTCATCGAGTCGCCCGTCTACCGAGGCGAGGAGCTTGAGGATTCCGCTTTTCTTCTTGTTAAAGTCCCGGCCACCCCACGAGCATAACCGCGGCATGGCTCTCCGGGTGGCGGCCTCGCGAAGCTCGCGTACCAGTTGGCGTGGCGGCGGCACGCCCTCAAGCTGCGCTTGCACATACTCTGTGAGGCCGCAGCGAACGGCAAACACGAGAAAGCCATCGCTCGGTCTGCCCTTGTTCAGGATGCTAGCCCAGTGGTGGTCGCCCGAGGTCCAGTACTGCTGAATTAGGCAGGGTCCCTTGTCGTTTGGCCTGCTGGCCAGCGTGGTGGCCGTGCTGTCCAATATGTGTAAATACCGGACGTGGAGTGCGACGTCGCGGTCAGCGAGGTGACTTAATGGCTCAAGGCACCTTGAGATAGCTGGTACGAAGGTAATTGCCAATAGGAATGTCGGTGCGAGGTTCTTCAAGTGTGCCAAGTGCGCCTTGAAAAGAGCTGCGTATGGATCAAAGCTTTCGTCGCAAGCCTCGACGATCAACGTCCAAATCCGGGGGATCGAGAGAAAGTCTTCGACCGTGCGATGCAGGTAGTCTATCTCAGCTGCCGCAAGCAATGGGCCGTCCTCCGGGGGGATTTCCATGACCGCCCTGGCGGGGCGTTCGGCTAGGCCCGGCGGTGGCTCATCGCGAGTCTTGCCTGAACCAGCATCCCCCTCGGCCGTTGGATTGCTGCCTTGATGCTGGGAACTTGGCGGTTCGGAAAGCGGGCCGACTTCAAGCAACCCTTTGCACCTACTGACCAGTCGCCGCTTCATCGTGACAGCTCGATACCATATCTCCTTGGAGTCAAGAGGAGCCACTGGACGGTTCAGTGCCCAGTCAGCATCGTCATTATCAGCAAACGACATGGTGAGAACAGAGGGCTTCCGCTCTGAAGCTTTGACCATGCGGAACAGGTGAGCCGCATCTCGAAAGTGGCGCCCCTTGAGTCCATGCAGCATCTTTGTAAACAGTTCGTCCAGCTCCGCCGGCAGCCCGTCGAGCCTGTCCTGCAGTTCCGACGGCCTGTCTCCCTGCTCGAGACCTTCAATGAGGGACCGCACGACGAGTACAACCCAGAGGAAAACTCCAGAGGCTTTGTCGGTGATATTGTGAATAAGTTTCGAGGCATATTCCGGACTGTACTCCTGCAGCTCTCGAAACGCAGTATTAGTCGTCAGATTCTGCTCCGCATAAAGCGCGATGTCGTTATGCGTCCTGTGTTGGAGCATCAAGTTGGCCGCCTGCCTGAACTCATCCTCGAAGACGACCCACGGCCTGCTCGACACGCAGACCTTCACGTTTGGGTATGAAGAGAGGTTTCGGAGCAGAGAGATCAACCTGGTCGAGTCGCCAACGTACTCGTCCAACCCGTCGATGAAGAATGCGTATTTGACAAGAGACTCGGGTTCCTCTTCGACGAGAAGACGCAGCCCCTGCACAAGTTGCTCCCACGAAAGCGGAGACTCTCTCACGCCTAGTACAGCAAGACTGAAGGCGCTCCACTTGCTTGGCACGGCAGAGTCGGCGCTCATGGCCAGACGCTTTGATAGGGCCTGATGTAGAAGAGACCTGAAGAGTCCTTCGTGAGACGTCTGCAGCTCCGTCCCCGCATGCCAAAAGTAGAAGCCGGCAATGATGAGGTCGCCGCAGGGGCCGACCCACGTCCTGAGGTACTCGGCGGTGCGAGGCTCGTGATAGAGCAACTTCATAAGCGTCGACTTTCCGGACCCTGGCTTTCCAGTGATCCAGTAGACGCTGTCGCCGGACTCGAGCCAGTGCCTGAAGCTGCTCCATGGCCGCTCTGCCGTCTCACAGGCCACGCGGTCCGAGAATATCCAATCAAAGGTCCTGTTGAATGCCTCAGGAATGCGAGCCTCGCGGTCCAGCCTCTCCGGATACTGAAGTCGCTCCAGGAGAGCCGACTGCAGCGTCTGCACAACTGGCGCCTCTGCCCACGGCTGGATCCCATTCCACGTGCGGTCCTCTAGGCCCTTTATGGCGCGCCAGCTGCTCTCGGACACGGCGTGCAGGAGGAGCCGCTCTAGTGTCTTCATGTTTTTGCTTTGCTGGTCTACCCAGACCTGGAGTGTCTGAGTGTCGTTCCAGGGCAGCGGTGAGGCGACGCCATGCCGGGCACTATTGTGCAGGTCTTGCCTGGAGACAGCATCAGCGTTGTCGAGTGGGCTTCGCTTAGAGGCTTTCTTACAAAATGCTTGCCAATATGGCGCTTGTAAGCGAGTCCCTTTGATTCAGCAACTGCTGCTCAAGGGCTTCGATGTCGTCACGCCGCCACAGCGTGGAGAGAGCCGCGCGAGCCGCGGACACGGCAGTGGCCTTCTTTCCGTCGAGACGCAGCTCGTCTAGCTTCTTCACCAGCTGCTCGCCAACCCTGTTTGTTTCGGTGCACAGCGAGAGGATGGACTGCTCGAGGTCACTGAGCGGGCGAAGCGAGCGCTCCTTATGCAGAGCCACAACCAGGCTGCGGGCCAGCTGCCTCAGATGTTGCGCGCCGGTACGCTTGTCCCGGAACTCCTCAATGGTGCCATCGTCTGACCTGCTGAGCTCTCTGAGCGTTGAGAGGAAGCGCACACCGTAGTCAATCACCTGAATGGCGCTGCCAGCAACGCGCAAGGTCGAGATGGCCTCCATGGTGATGCCGATTTCGCCAGGACCGAGGAGAGCTCGCCCGCCCAGCTGGTTCGTGAGGCACGCGATGTGGGAAGTTTAGCGCTGCCAGGCAAGGCGGCCGATCTTGGGCGGCCATGGTAGTCCGGCCGCCGCAGAGGCTGACCTGCATGAGAGGCGTGGCCATGGAATGTCGATTTGGCCCCCATCGAGTCTTGCACTTTGACGTCGGGGGGTCAAGGAGGCGGCGGGCAGATGGCGCTTACACGGGCGGGAGGTGCTGTCGCCCCGGGGCTCCAGCTGTCACTTATTAGAAGGAGGAGTGCTATTCGTAGGGCCAACTTTTGCTAGTTGTACAGCCGTCCTACATTTTCGTCTCGGCCGCGCACTACCGCTATGCTGCTGCGCAGCGATTTTTAGTACGCTGGTATGGGACGATAGCGGCGCTCTGCCTATTGCTAGTAATTTGCTACTATTCCTACCGGTATTGATACTGCTGTCGCTGCTGATGCTGCTGCAGCTCGGCCTCTATAACTAGCAAAACTTAGCTCTACGAATAGCACTACTCACTCGTTAAGACGTTCTTTCAGCCTCCACAAACCTGTCCCGACTCCAGCTCACACTTCCCAGCGGACAGCTCCTGCCCCACCAAGCACGGGGCGCCCCGGCATTGATCCCTTATCGGAGCTTCTTGTGGTCTTATCGGACCGGCAGGCAGCCCTGTGGCACGGTGGGGCCCTGAGAACGGCACGTCACAGTGGACGCGCCCATCGCTGCAAGTTGTCCTCTTTGCCCTGGCCGAACTTCTCGCGAGGCTCCATCCAGCTCCCCGTCCACGTCCACAGTTGAGGCCACATCGACTGTAAACCACTGGCGCCAAGCCCGTACAGAGAGTCACATTTCTGGGCACGCCCATTCCTTTCCTTTCCCAGTCCAATCTCTTCCCCTTCATCTTGTACATCATCCTTGGGCTTGCGTGTGCGACAGCTCTCGCCATAATTCACCATCCCTCCGCACGCTGCGACCTAGATGCGCCGCCTGCTCGGAGCGCATGCGCACGACTAATACCATGACCACATCACGACGGCCGTCGCCGCTGATGGTGCTCCTCGGAGCCCTCTTCTTCTTTTCAGCCAATGTCTTCGCCGCTGGCGCAGTGCTCGGCGTTGACCTTGGCACCGAATACATCAAGGCCGCGCTGGTGAAGCCCGGCATCCCACTCGAAATCGTCCTCACAAAAGACTCGCGGCGCAAGGAGACGTCGGCCGTCGCATTCAAGCCCTCCAACTCGGCCCCCAAAGATGGCCAGTTCCCTGAACGACTCTATGGCGCCGATGCCATGGCCATCGCCGCCCGGTTCCCCGGCGAGGTCTACCCGAACCTCAAGACCCTCCTCGGCCTCCCCGTCGACGATGCCACTGTCAAGGAATATGCTGCAAGGCACCCTGCGCTGCAGCTCCAGGCGCACAGCCGGGGCTCAGCCGCTTTCAAGAGCAACACATTGACTGCCAAGGAGGATGCCTGGCTCGTCGAGGAGCTGCTGGCCATGGAGCTGCAGAGTGTGCAAAAGAACGCCGAGAACGCGGCCGGAGACGGCTCGTCGGTTCGATCCATCGTTCTGACTGTCCCGACCTTCTACACTACCGAGGAGAAGCGGGCCGTCCAGACTGCGGCGGAGCTCGCCGGACTCAAGGTGCTGAGCCTTGTCAGTGACGGCCTCGCCGTCGGTCTCAACTACGCGACGAGCCGGCAGTTCCCCAACATCAACGAGGGCGCCAAGCCCGAGTACCACATGGTCTTTGACATGGGCGCTGGGTCCACGAGCGCCACCGTCATGCGGTTCCAGAGCCGCAATGTCAAGGATATTGGCAAGTTCAACAAGACGGTTCAGGAAGTGCAGGTGCTCGGCAGTGGCTGGGACCGCACCCTCGGCGGCGACTCTCTCAACTACCTCATCATGGATGACATGATTGAGAAGTTTGTTGAGTCCAAGGCAGCCCAGAAGGCGTCCGTTACGGCCGCCGCGGTCAAGTCTCATGGTAGGGCGATGGCCAAGCTTGCCAAGGAGGCAGAGCGCGTACGGCAAGTCCTCAGCGCCAACCAGAACACGCACGCAAGCTTCGAGGGCCTTTACGACGACGTCGACTTCAAGTACAAGCTTACCAGAGCCGACTTCGAGGCCATGGCTGAGGGCTATGGCGATCGTATCGCAGCAGCCATCAGCGACGCCATCAAGATGTCGGGGATCGAGATTGCCGACTTGACGTCGGTCATTCTCCATGGTGGCGCCACGCGGACTCCTTTCGTCCAGAAAGCGCTTGAGAAGATTGTCAACTCGGCGGAGAAGCTCCGGTCCAATGTAAACGCCGACGAGGCAGCCGTCTTTGGTGCCGGCTTCCGCGCCGCCGAATTGAGCCCCAGCTTCCGCGTCAAGGAGATCAGGATCACTGAAGGTCCCATGTATCCCGCCGGCCTAAAGTGGACGGCAAGCAGCGGCAAGGCGCAGCGTCAGCGGCTGTGGACCGCGTCGTCACCCATGGGTGGTCCGGCCAAGGAAATGACCTTCACCGAGAAGAACGACTTTGCCATTACATTCTTTCAGCAGGTCGGCGATGAAGACCGCGAGACCAAATCCATGACGACCAAGAATCTGACGGCAACAATTGCTGCCATGAAGGAGAAGTACCCGACCTGCGACGAGACAGAAATCGCGTTCAAGGTCGGCGTCAAGCTGAGCCCAGAGAACGGTGAAGTCCAGATCGTCAAGGCTGCTGTGGAATGCGAAGCCGAAGTGTCGGAGAAGGACGGCTTCGTCGGCGGCGTGAAGAATCTCTTTGGTTTTGGCAAGAAGGACCAGAAACCCCTGAAGGATGAAGGCAACAAGTCTTCGGAGGGGTCCGAAGAGACCTTCAAGGAGAAGGCCGAGTCGTCTGCCGCTTCGTCTGCGGCAGAGACTAGCGAGACTCCCGCGGCATCTGGAACGGAGACCAAGGCCAACGAGCCTAGTGAAGAGGCGAAGCCCGAAGTCAAGAAGAAGGAGATTGTCTCCATCACCGTCGATTTCGTCCTCGAAAAGGCCGGCGTGCCCACCCTCACCAAGGCAGAGCTTACCAAGGCCAAGGATAGGCTCAAGTCGTTCGCGGCATCTGACAAGGCTAGGGTGCAGAGAGAGGAAGCCCTGAACCAGCTGGAAGGATACACCTACAAAGTCCGAGACCTCCTCGAAAGCGAGTCCTTCATCTCCATGTCGACAGAGGACGAGCGAACAAAGCTCGCGGAAAAGGCCAGCGCGACCAGCGATTGGCTGTACGAAGACGGCACCGAGGCCACCAAGGAGGTCCTCAAGGAGAAGCTCAAGGCGCTCCAAGACATCGTGGAGCCCATTCAAACCAGAATCGATGAGGCTGCCAAGCGACCAGAGCTAGTCTCATCCCTGAAGAGCGCCTTGAACCAGACCACTCACTGGCTCAGCGACATCCGCAAGCAGATCTCGGATTACGAAGAGAAGATTGCGTCCGCCTCGGCCGCCAGCTCGTCCACCACGTCTAGCGCCCCGGCCGAATCGGCCTCGGGCGACTTTGATGGCCTGGAAGACGATGACGCCAAGGCCAAGAAGGGCGACAAGGCGGAGGACACCAAGGAGACGGGCCCCGAAGCACCCCTGTACAAGACGGAGGACCTCAAGGACATCGACGCCCTCTGCAAGTCGACTGCGGACTGGCTCAGCGACATGGAGGCCAAGCAAGACGCATTGCCGGCGACGGCGAACCCCGTGCTTGTGTCAAAGGACATCCTGGACAAGCGCCAGAAGCTTGATAAGGCAGGCATGGATCTCGCGATGAAGGCCATGAGGAGCAGCTTTGGCAGCAAGGGCAAGAAGGCCAAGGGAAGCAAGAGCACGGGCGGCAAGAAGAAGAGCAAGACGAAGAGCGCCGACGAGCCGAACAACACAATCAAGTTTGGCGACGGGAGCGGGAAGCTGACGGAGGAGCAGCTGCAGGAGATGATGGACAAGATCAAGAAGATGGAGGAGGCCAAGGAGAAGGAGGCCAAGACGGAAAAGAAGGGCGAGGCGAAGCCGGAGCATGACGAATTGTAACATTGATCTGGGTCATATAGAGCGTTTTTGAAACGAGAACATGATGGTGTCTTGTACAATGAGAATTGGTGAGCGTGACTAGATCTGCGGCGTTGGCTAGATGCAGTGATAACCTTCTCTGGTGTGCGCTTCATTATACCTGAGAAGAGATTCATTTACGCTGATCCGAGGTATGTAGCGTCGGCAGTGGTAGCCATGGAGCGCCATCGTCTCGTCGCGAGCCTCCAGTCCCGAAGGCCGTGCCGGATAATGACCCTCCCATGAGCGTTCAGTCGCAAAAGCAGGCACTTTTTTTCTGTCACGATATTCGATACCAACCACGCTGGCCCTTGAATATCCAGCGGGTGGCCAACGGCAGCTTCAGTCTCAGCACAAAACGCAGAGGCGCGTCTCGGATTAGTACGTGGTGGTGGGATCGATCAATTTGCTGCCCTGACGTGCGTCGCACCCACGGCTCACAAATATGAAACGATACTTGAGCGGCTGGTTTGTGTGATGGTTCCTGGCAAGGAGCTCGGTCGTGCGAGCTGAGCTCGCGGTTCGGCGGAGTACGCTCCGAGGATACTGCATGCCGCCCGCAGATATCTGGTTGGGCCATGCGTAGGTAGTTTGGCTATCAGAGCAGGTAAGTGTCGAGCTGGAGTTGCCGAGGTGACTCGCAGCCGTCTGGCTGCTAGGCTGCTGTACTGTACTTTGCCTGCACGGGCAAAATGAGTCGATCCTCTGTTCCAGGCCCTGACTTGAAGACCTGGCGGCCAGCTGCAGGCAGTCGCCAGCGCCGCCGTCTGCACCTTCCTCGTCCGATGTGCCCAGCAGCCAGGACTTAACTTTCTCAATCACCGCACCCTCGAGATCATGCGTGTCGTCTCTCCTCTTACCGCCTCTGCGCCCCGTCCCTCCTCGCCTCACCTTTCGACCCTATAGCCAAGTACATCCTGCATAAAACGAACCAGCAAACGCCCAACTCCGCCTCCACGATATAAACCTCGCCCAAACGCTCGTTTTCGACAGGCCTCGTTGCCACCCACGACACTCATTTGAATTCCGCTCGTTACCGCCATGATGCGCGTCGCCATCTACATGTTCGCGGTCGTCGCCGCGCTCTGCGTCTCTCTCGCCGCGGGGGGCAACGCCTTCACGCTCGAGGTGACCCAGAAGCAGGCTGGCCAGAGCGACTACCTCACGGCCTGGGCCGCTGCGCATCGCAAGTGGGGGAAGGGTGTTCCCAAGGGCGCGGCCGAGATGCTCGCCCTCTCGGACGGAGGTGGTGAGTCTTTGGACAAGAGCGTGTTCCGTGGCCAGTGGTGCTGATGTTTGAGAGCAGAGAGCCGTGTCGATGCCCTGCCCTTGGTCCATGACAAAGCCTACGTCGCCGAGATCGAAGTCGGAACTCCGCCGCAGAAAGTCAAGGTGCTTCTTGATACCGGCTCCTCGGACGTGTGAGTTGCCAAGCCCTGCACAAGTTTCCGTTCCCCGGCGACAATGTGCTGACACTCGTTAAGCTGGGTCCAGTCCACAGACACCAAGTACCGCATCAACAAGCAAGGGCCGCATGCCCCGAGATACAACCCCAAACACTCCAACACGTCGCGTGCCATCGAAGATGCCATGTGGAACATCGAATATGGTGAGCATTCGCCGTCCCGCAAGGCGCTTGTGTCGCTCTAACAAGCTCGCCAGCGGACGCCAGCAATGCCGTTGGCGTCGTCTATCGAGACACTCTCCGCATGGGCGATTTCGTCATCCATGATGCGCTGATCCAGTCTGCCTCGATCGTCTCGGACAGCTTTGAGAGGGAGACGGGCTTCAGCGGCATCATGGGCTTGGCCAAGCTGCTCGACAACAACATCCAGCCTCCTCAGCCGTCGTTCCTGTCGGTCCTTCAGAAGCAGCTCAAGGCGCCTGTATTCACAGTCGACGTGCGCAAGAATGCAACGAGCCGCTTCGACTTTGGCCGCGTGGACCAGACACTCGCCTCGGATAACATCACCTGGCTGGACACCGACCCAACCAGCCCCATGTGGAGCGTCGAGTTCGAACTCACGGCGTGGACCGGCAACAGCGTCTGGCTGTACCACAAGTTCCAGGCCATCATCGATACGGGAACGTCGCTCATGTTCCTCCCCGAGCTGCTCGCCAGCATGTACTGGGAGAAGGTCCCCGGCGTGGACAGCTCGCTCGGCTCATACCGGTTCCCCTGCAACGTGACGGACAGCCTGCCTGACCTGCTGCTCAAGCTTCCCCGCACTGACCACGTACTTGTCATCCCCGGCCAGTACCTGAACTATGGACCGGCCGACAGCGACAATGACTTGTGCTGGGGCGGGATGCAGGGCTCCGGCCAGCTCAACGGCGTCATCATCATGGGAGACGTGATGCTCAAGGCCCTGTTCGTCGCCTTTGACGTGGAAAAGGGCCGCGTGGGCTTCGCCAACAAGTTTCTGCATGATGTGAAGTAGGTGCTTTCATTTCCAAAGGGAGGGTAGCCTGGCAGGAAGGGGGAATACATTGCCATGTATTATCTCAGTTTTGACAGTCCGCGCACAGGCAGAGATGGTAGTCTGTGTCGGACGCGGCAGGGCATTGATTGAGTGACGGCCCATCGTGACGTCTGTAGTGTTTGTCATCGGTTTCGGCTTGTCACAGCCGTTGTCGTAGCAATGGCGGCTCGTCAAACGCAAGAAGTAAGGCAACGAAGAGTCAATCTCAGAGCATCGAGGTCTCAAGACATGTCCCGTCTCAAACCAGAGACATGCACGTGCAGGGTGCTGGTGAACAAAACATCAAGCCATTGGCGTCATTCCGGAATGATATATACAAGTCAGAACTCTGCCAGCTTCCTGCGCCATCATCATGCCCTGGGCCGAAGGGAAAGCGCGGAGTAAGCGTGTAAACGAGAGACTCGATTCTGCGACCACGCGACATCGTTGGTTCGGGCTCGTGGCTCCAAAATGAGAAGTCCCGATCCAGCAATCACGCGGTTCCGGTCCAAGGACTTCAATCCCAACCTTCTCCCTCATTCACATCGGCAACAAAGATATGAAACGGTGTTGCTCCGGCCCTCTCGCTCGGATATTATAAGAGTTGTATGATCGAAGAGGTTCCCGCCAGGTAGGCCGGCGTCGCCAAATGTGAAGCCAGCCGGTCAACATCAAATGCGGCCTGGAATGCAGCGCGCAGCGCCTCATTGTGCTGCTCCGCGAGCTTGTATTGCGAAAGGATAAGGAAACCGAGTCCTTTGGGGTGTCTGCCGAACGCCGAGAAAACATTGTCTAAGAGCGAGAGGTGGCCACGACGGAGCACGGGAGAATGTCGAGCATCCCCGCGGGGTCATCTGCCATGTATGGAAGCGACTGAAGGTGCTGCTGCATTTGGCCGGTAAGGTGGGCCCAAAGGCGAGCTGCTACTGAAGTGGCAGACGCTCATGTTGTGTTCCGAGCTCGATCAGTACTCGACATTGCCGTCTAGATGCAGACGGAGAAGTGGCAAGTCAGCGGGCGGCGTGATATAAATCATCGCGGGTCACGATGTGATATTCACCTTCGCTAGCCCCTGGTGTTGGAGGCATATTGCCTGAGCTTGGAGCTTGCTGGGTGGCGCGGGCCGTGCCGGGACGGGACCGCGGCTTGCTGTCGTCCTTGTTGATCGTCTCCGTCCTCTGCTGGGTAGAGGTTTGGTTGGTGTTGACCTGGATGCCAGTGCGGCCGGGCTGGTTTCGGCGGAGACGGTCCTCCATTTCGCGAATGCGAGCTTCGAGATCGGCGAGCTCCTGGGTGTTCTTGCCGACATTTTGCCTCCTGCATGCGAGTTGTCAGCGGGGAGGGGCTTCATCCAAAAGGGAGAGATTGAGGAGCGTAGTGCCATGCAGACCAATACGAACCTCGCATCGACTTGCTGATCCAGATCCGTCAGAGAGTTCTCAATGCGAAAGATGTCCATCAGCTCCTGGGAAAAGGAGCGGGCAATGGTGCTGGAGACGGGGAGTTAGCGTGTGACGACTTGTAACGGCGCGGCGGCGCATGATGCAACGGCCTGGGGATGGGAACGGGGCTGGGACAACTCACGACTGGGGCCGGCGGCCATTGGGCTGCCAGTCGCGGTCGAGCTCTGCGTCGGTCATTTTGGATGTGGATAGGGGCCGCGGCGATTGTGTAACTGGTGTTGCGATGCGGGTTGCGGTGCGAGCGTGTTGCCGGCGTCTCGTCGAGCTGGGTCGGGAGGGGGACAGCACGGCGCGGGAGCGATAAGGATGAAGCAGCAAAGATGTTGCGTTGGCGTGCGCGGATGCCGGATGGAAATAAAGCTGGGAAGCTTGCCCTCTGATGCAAATGCGAAGCGAGGCGAGCGAGGCGAGGCGAGAAGGGAGTCGCAAGAGTACGAGGTAGGAGTGAGAGCAGGAGGAGGAGGAGGAACAGGGAGACTTGGGACGAGTCGGCCGCCGCCAGTCGGAAGGCGGCAGTCGAAGAATAGATTTACCGTGCCGTTCCTGGCGCAACAGGGGGAGCTTCCCTGTCAACAGTGAGCAGCGAGTGGGTGAGAGGGTGAGCGTGTGCGGTCTCCCTTTTCAGCGGACCCCCCTCCCCCTTCTCAATCAATCTGTCCGGATAGGGGTTGCTTGGAGCTGGCCGAATGAGACGAAAGGTCGAGCGGCCCGGTGGAGGGGAAAGGGGGGGTGCGCTGAAGGGAGCCGGCCATGCCACCCTGTCACGCATCACGACGCATCACGCATGGAGCGCCCTCGACGTCGACGACGGCCGTGCTGACGGTGACCAGCTTTCGCAATGTGACCTTTGTTCGTGATACCCGTCACCGTCGGCCCCGCGCCCGCATGCGCAGCGTTGCCCACCGGCCGGCCGTCTGCTGTCCCGCTGCGCTCCTGCATATGCTTGTTCCCAGCAGGCCTCATGCCGCGGCCGCAAACAGCCGGAAGGGGGGTGCGCAATTACCCTCTGCCCAGCACCACCGCTATTACGCAGACGGACGCCAGCAAAGCGCCCGCGCAGCGCTTCCTTCCCGCCTCCAGCTGCCAGTCCAGCCACTCGTCCAATGGGTTACGCGGTTACCAGCTGGAGCTGCCAGCGCGAGTGGGTGTAGCGGGAAAGCAATGGTGGGTAACAGCGGGGCCGCCGGCGCAGACGCTCAGCACGGGCGGTGGGTACTGAAGCATCAAAGAGGTAAGGTAAGGAGGCAACGGCGGGCAAGCTGCGGGAGCTGGCCCGGGGAGACCTTCTGGCACCAGACCAAAGACGCCCGCCAGAGCATCGCAGCCAGATCGACTGGGCGTCCCCGGCGGCGAGGCGGCGAGGCGACGAGCTGACGGACGGGCCGAGGGGTGCCATGGTGTCCATCAGGAGTCGCGTGTTTGCCGTCACAGGCATTTGATTTGCACATTCATCTTGATGCGAGATGACGGGGTGGAGGCATGGACACGCCCCCCGTGATTTCCACATTCCCACTCCTGCCACAAGTACGGAGTAGTGCGCTGGGTATTAGGGGACTGCTAATAAGGCAAGGACGGGCCGTCACCACCAAAGCGGACAATCAATGCGCCCATCCCACTTCTGTCAATCTGTTGCCCTCGTTCATCAAGGGACCTGCCGCTCGCCAGCCGGTCAGCCAGTCTGTTCGACGCGAAATCCGGGGTCCGTGTCGCGAGGCAGGCCTACCATGCAGACGGGCAAGCATGCGCGGGCGCCTTCTCCTCCTCAATGTTCCATCCTGCCCGCCTGCCGCCATGCCGCCGTCGCGGCCTGAGACCCCGTGTCAGGGTCAGTCGGCCGGCGTCCCACGCGGACGGGTCTTGTCGTTGTCTTGTCTGAGCTCGACGCGCGCGGACGGGCTTCGCCTCGCCTCGCCTCGCCTCTCGGGGCGGCTGCGGCGCGTGTCTACTTGTCCGACAAGCAAATTGACCCCATGCAATACCTACCCAGCACGCGGGGAGCGACTGACTGGCACGGCCGCATGGTGCTCATTTGGCGAAGCGCTCTGGCGCCGTGCTGTGCGTGTGTGCGTGCGACGTCCTTCCTGGGGATCCCTCGCCAGGGCCCCAATGACATCATGCGCAATTTGACGGCGGAGCGCCGGAGACTCAAGGCGAGGCAGGCATCAAGGGCACGGAGCGTGTTGGGTCCCGGTGGGGCTGATGAAGTCGTCGTGCCCCTTTTTGCCGGGTGGTACCTGCTTCCGCCCGCTGTTGGTTGGGCTTCCCCACGGCCGAGGCGCGGCTGAGATGAGGTTGATGATTGCGCATTGCTTGGCACAGAAATCACGGAAGGCCGCGTCTCCGATCCCCAGTCATCATCAGTCTTCAGCAACACAGCTGGAGAAGATGAACCGGCTTGGCTGTCAGGGCATTCCACAAATGATTGCGCTTTCTTGCATGCACGGCGTCGTATATACACTATCCAACTTCTAATAAGTTACTGCACCGGCTTGTCAATGTCTGCCAGTAGGCGCGTCCAACGGACGGCGGCCGTATTCGGGATCCCGACTCCCGAATCCTCCAAATCCGCCATCGTCTCGCTTACCCGCTCCTTCCTTCCATGCAATGCCGACTGTGTTGCGCGGCACGTGAGCCCCAAAATTGTATGCAAGACTCCATAACTCCTTCCCGTTCGGATCCGGCATGTCCTGTCCTGCCTGCCCTGGGTATTACCAACTTGCACCAAAATGCCGAGCCGAGCCGCGTCGCGCACACTAGCCCTATGCTGCATCGGCCGGTGAAGTTTTCCCCTCTTCTATACTCACATTCTTCTTACATTGCTTGTCGCCAATGTTGTTGCTGTCTGTCGCGGCTGTCGACAGTATGGGTCGCGAGACTCCTGACCAGCTGGCTCGACGGACCTCTCTTCGGCGCCCCAATGGTTGGGTCTCGCCGTCCCGACCCGTGCTCGACGCCATCAGCCACAATGCGGCATCGTCCGTTCGCCTGACCTGGCAAAACGTCCACAAGAATGCCACACAGCTTGGGCGCGCATTGCTTTGCCGAGAAAAAGGACTGGCCGTCATGCTCACTGGAAAGGAAAGCTGACGGAGCCGCACGTATCGTGTGCTGTCACCCATTCCTTGATCCTCTTGAGGTTCCACCCACTCTTGAACCGCCACCACACCTCCTTCTCCAGCTTTGTCGGGTTGCCGTGCTTGATGGTCTTGCTGAAGGAGCAGATGCCGTTCCAAAACCGGTACTGCAGGCAGTCACTCGCACCGTCGCAAGCTTTGCGGCAGTCTTCGAGGCTCCGATGCGCAACCGCCTCCAGCGCTGTCAGGTCTCCTTTCTTGGCTTTGCCAAGCTCCCAGTCGCTGTACGCCGACGCCGACTTGTTGAGGTAGAAGACATCGTCGCTCAGGTTATTCCAGTCGTTTCGCGACACCACGAGCTGGTCCTCGACAAATTCATGGTACAAATCCTTGATTCGCAGCGGGTAGCTAAAGTTGCGCCCCTTTTCGAACGCGTATATGTCGGAGATCTCCTGCGCACCCGCGTGGTGCATGGTCGCGATGGGCTGGCACCACTCGTTTTCGGCGTACGGCAGCGTGTGCGGCTTCTCGCCGTTGATCGTCGGCCACTGCAGGCAACCCCGTTAGCGACAATTCGCGATTCACTACGCCGCGACTTGGCGGCGGCATCCACGGGAGGTCAAGAGCATACCGCATTCTGCACGGAGACCCCCGTTTCGGTGTGCAGAGCCAGCGAGAACATGAAGTCGCCACAGCACTCGTGCGTCGCGCGCTCGTCCCATCGGTTGGCAACGCCATTCTTGCCATGAAAGAGCTTATGCATGGCGGCCTGGGACACGAGATAGCCGCTCCCACCGTGGCCAAACGGGAAGTTGGCAACATAGGCGACGCTGCCAATGTAAAGCGGCTGCTTGGGATTGAGTTTGCTGAGCCATTTCATCATGGTCGGCCAGACCACGTAGGTATCAGCGTCCACGAAGAGATACCAATCGTGGTTTGGCCGCATGGCATATGTCTTCTCAGCCATGTGGATGTTCTTGTACTTGTCGAGGCTCCAAGCCTCTTGCCCGACGTTGTGGTTCTTGTTGCACGAGTCGAGGTCAATCGGGCACTGTTGCTGACGATGGTACAGGTTGAAATCTTTATTCTTTCTCTTGACGTCGGGGATAACGGTGTCGAGGCTGTCGTGGACGGTGTGCCCGGCGACCTTCTGGGCCATGTCGCCGAAGAAGAGATAATTGGGGACGCACTTGAGGTTGGTCATGATCTGGTTAGGGAGCTTGCCGTACGCCTCCGACGCGCCCGTCTTCATGACGAGCAGCACGCTGGACGTATCCGGAAAGTGGTCACATTCGCCCGAGCCAACCGTGGAGCCAACGCCGTGCGAAGCCGACTTGCCAGAGCCCCCGAGTGATAGGTGGTGGCGGAAGCTGGAGATGTCGCAGTAGCTGCCATCTTCGCAGAGGGCGCCCATGCGACTTGAAGCGAAGAAGAGGCCGACGATGAAGCTGGCAAAGAGGGCGAAGATGACGACGGAGCGCCGGGAGAATCCCCTCGGCGCCAGCATGGTGTAAGTGGCAAAGGGTGCTGCCCGGGTCTGGCCCTTGTCGAGGATGCCGAGCATGTCTGTCTCGGGCAACTGTCCTCACGGAGCCTGCCCTCTCGCGATAATACAACGATCACTGCAATGACAGAGGAAGTTGAGGGGGCAGAGCACAGCGACGCGGACCAAGCGGGAGAAGCTGGCCAGTTTGGGTTTTGTTCGCGGCTGGACTCGCAACAGGCTGCGGACTGGGCCCCCCTGACGTGACACAGACCAAGCCAGAGCGAAGGCGCCGATTTAGTGCGACCACTACGAAGTGAGTCGGGGCAGGGATCGCCTCAGACGCCGCCGGGTTCTGGGTCTACGAGAACGCCGGTGCGAAGGTTGGGAGGATTCAGCGGTGCATGCCGTACTACTTGTGCCACTGGCTGCCCATTGTCGGTGCGGAGACGGACAGGACTTGTAGCGGGCCCTCGGGGGAGCTCAACGGCCGCTGACACCACGAGCGTGCTGCACGGGTTGCGCAAGATGGCCGGATGCACAGTGCCGCAAAACCTCTGATAAGGCAGACTCTGGATGGGGACTGACGCAGGGCGGCTTTGGAACAAGTTGAAACTCCTGAAGATCAAGCGGCCCACAGTGGGTGGGCGGGGCGAGACGGCACTCTGCTGCCGCCGGGATAGCGCCTGTTCGCCAACGAACCAACAGCGACAGCTGCCAGATTAAAATAACGCCTGTTGGTTCATTAACAAGAAACAGCATTCGAATTCACGGGCTTCGCAGCGGCTTCTAACGGTTGGCCGATCGTGGTCGCCTATCCATCCGAACAACGAGAGGCGCTGAGCTGCGGCTGGCGACCGGTTGCGTTGGCCCGGATATCCTGGACGACGGGAGCGACGGGACGGTCGCGGATGGCAGGTTCCCGGCCGCAACCACACCACGAAGCTTTTGGTGGCTGAAGTCTAGCGACCCGACAAGGACGGGCACACGTATGCACGAGGCATGTACTGTACGGAACACGAAAGCTCGTATCCTCAGTGGTCTTCGGCTCAGCTCTCTCGTTGAGGCAGGACTGGCCGCAGGGAGCAGGGCCCCAGAAGGCCGCAGGAGCCCTCGACTACGGCATAAGATTAACGAGCACAGTGCATCGCGCTTTGCTGCCGCCGAGCATCCTTCCGCGGCGGCTTCATGCCAGATGGCCTGTTATAGCAGGCGATGTCCCATCTGGGTCAGGTTTGACATGGGCGAGCGGTCCCTGCGCGCGTCGAGAATGAGACACGGAAGCTCGACGCGACCATTCCCATGACGGCGAGAGACATGATCTCTCTACGCATGAGGAGCAGGAATCCGGCTGTTTCTCACAAGCGTCAGCCAGCGCACGGCGCAGTCGCTTGGCAGCGCTGAACTCACTGAAAGCCCAGCCCAGCACCAGACGATGTTACCAGTCAGCCATGTCCACGAAGCAGCGCCGACGTGACAGACTGCCCCGGGATGCTCTAATCAGAGGCTATCGCGAGCGCCATGCCGCCGCCACAGCGAGCGCCAATCACGGCAGTGCGCCGGAGCACGTTGCGCCATGGGAGCCGGCTTCGCCCCCCCTGCAACGGGAAGGCCCTGCTAGTCATCATGCAGGGATGCTTGTCTGCACCTACATTTTGCTGTCCTCCGTTAGCGCGTCGACCTGCGCTGTTAACGCTTGAGGGACACTGCGAAGCTTGTTGGATTGTTGCTCCATGGCCACTGCCTCAGCCGCAGCCGCCGGAGATACGTACGTGTACTTACGCTATGGATGACACTATATGCAGAAGGCCTTTCCTCCATTGGAGGGCCTGGGCCTCCGCCGCACGTGCGCCGCCTGTTCGCCCTCGTCCATTCATGCCTTCATCCTTGGACGCAAGACCAACTTAACTTCGTACTGTGTGCCTCTCCGACAATCGTGCATCACAGCTCATCGTGCCTCGAGGCGTCATCACCACCGTCACGCCTCATCGAGTCGCCGTCACCATATCGCCCATTCCACGGCTCAATATGTCCCTGGGCAATGGCCATGATGAAGTCCTCCACCGCCTCGGCCGCTGGTATTCGATGTCGCTCCTTGGCCTCTGCGCTAGACTCTCGCTCCCGGCCCCGGAACGGATACACCTGGCCAGTGTGCAGGTTCTCCACGACGAGCCCGCCCTCGGACGCGACGCCGAGCGCGTGCGACATGTCCGGAAATTCACCCGAGTCCACCGTCACGAACTGGAGGTATTCACGAAGCCGCTTGGCGACGGGCCTCATGGCCGCAACGTATGCCTCCCGCTCGCTTGCGTCGTCGCTGAGGTAGTACACGATGCTCCTGCCCGCGTGCTGAAGCTCATCTCATCAGCCGACATACTCGCGCTCGCCAAGCGCCGACGCCGAAAGGCGAAATGACATGTGGCACAACCACCAGGGGGCGACCTACCTGCGTGTACTTGAGCTCGTTGCGGCGGCTCATCTCGGGGATCAGTGGCTCCGCGCACGTCGCGAGCAGTGCCTCCAGCGCTCCCGGGTGGTCAAAATCTACCCGTCGATGCTGCATCCCGTCTTCGTTGTTGTGACACTGCAGCGTACTTTGATCCGAGAGGCTCCCCTGTGCAACACCGAACGAGTAACGGTCCCGGTAGGCGTCAGCCAGCGACGAGAGGCGCGAGGCGGTGCTACCATCATCGCGACCCAAGTGGGCGATGAAGACTACCGAGTCGGATGAGGCAAACGCGTCGAGCTTCTCGTTGGTGAGGCGAGTCACAGCCGGTCGCTGGATGCGCCCGAGGAACGACGTGATGCTGGCAGAGTCAGCATCATTCAGCAGAGACACCACTGTCGATTGGGACCGAGGAATCGCACAATGATGCCTTACGCGGACCCCGGTACCGAACCAAGGACTGCCCGCGTCGATAGAGTCGGATCGCCGGAAAGGAAGTAACGTCATGCTCCGCACAAGCTTCCGGAGACACGGTGCAGTTGACAACCATGGAGGAGCCACCGCGCCACTGCATCGCGCCCAATTCCGAGAGAATGGCGCTGTGAGAATGTCAGTGACAGCATTCAGTGATGCGTGCGAAGTGTGGTCGACTTGCGTGTTTTCCTGCGCAGCGGGCGAGAGATTGTCAGCAGGGCAAGCGTCTGCAACCGCGGAGGAGCAGGACGCACAGCAACAACTGTCATTGTTGTCAACATGCGCATCAGCTACCCATTCTTTCACATTTCACAAAGCGCACTCACACGCTACAAGCGTAGCTTCATTGTCTGCCAGCGCTCGCTTCAACGCTGTCGAATCGCCTTGTTCCCATGCCGTAGCATGGCTTGAGGCGATCGCGATGGTCACTATGCCGAGGGCCTTCATTGATCCGACTGGTGTAGGGGAATGCACAGGGTGCGTCTTTACTCTTCAGAACCCCCCAGGCCGCCTGATGGATTTTATCGACCCGTGACAGAGATTCTGCCGGATACGTATATCCCGGGTTGAGGCACATCCAGGGGCCGTTCGTCGCAGCTCACAACGTGGCGCTTCCTGCCATGTTTCATATCTGTCGACAGACATACGGCCGACCCCGTTGAGTCGCACATTATGGGATAAAACATCAAGACAACCGCCATCTTTGCCAATCCCGTGTAGAGAGGCGACATGCCCATGACACCGGCCTCGCCTGAATATCCAAGATGGTTGGTGTGAAGAAGCTTCTTGCCGCAACCGCCGTGCTGGCTGCCGCTCGGGATCATGAGCAGATCCCCTTGTCCTCTAAGCCGTTTCTCTCAAGTGACTACTCCTGCATACATCCACCGTACAAGGTGCACCTCGTGAGCAGGTCACCACTGGTCATGTACCTGGAAGGCTTCCTCACCGGAGGAGAGCGCAGCCACTTGCAAAACTTGCCGTGAGTACCTGTTCCTCAGTCGCATCCATGTGTCGCTCACTCACTCACACGCGCTCAGCCACGGGCAGTTTCGAGACTCTGCCGTCGCCGGGGCGGCCGGCTCATCGGCCTTTCACTCGGTGCGCACCTCGCAGTCCACGACGGTGCCGCGCGACGCCCTGGTCCGTTGCGTCGAGGACCGCGCGCTCGCCCTCCAGGGCTTCGACACGCCGCCCGAGCACCTCGAGCCTATCCAGCTCGTCAGGTACGGCCCTGCGCAGCGCTACCATTACCACACGGACTGGTTCACCGACGCGGCAGCCCATGCGACGGCCGCGCAGGGGGGTAACCGCGTGAGCTCCATCTTTGCGTACGTGCGCGCCGCACGCGGCAGCACTGGCACTGGCACCGGCACCGGCAACAGCAGCCTCACAGGCGGCGGCACCAACTTCCCGCTCCTGGACGTTCCTCTGCACGACGAGCGCTGGTGCCGCTTCGTCGACTGCGACGACGAGTACGAGCACGGCGTGACGTTTCGCCCCGTCGAGGGCAACGCCATCTACTGGGAGAACCTGCTCCCGCGTGACGGCAGCAGTGGCGGCGGGCCCGCGCGCGGTGATCAAAGGACGCTACACGCAGGTCTGCCGGTCGTGAGCGGCGAGAAGATTGGCATGAACATCTGGACAAGAGAGGCGCCTCTGCCACCGGGCGTCAGGGGCGAGTAGGCAAGCACGTCACCATCTGCGAGAGGGCATTGAACTCTGCTGGCGTCCCTTTTCTTGACCTTGCATGGCGGCGTTGTTCCCACTAGAGACAATGCCGTTTTGAGCTTTCACTGTCTTCAGTATGCCCGTGCGAGGTCGCGAGCTGAACAAAAGGGACGACGACGACACAAAGGGACCTCGGACAACCGAGCGCCTTTGACTCCAAGCCCCCAAGCAGCTCTTCGACTCTCTTTCTCTCAGCAACAGGGGATTCCAGAGATAAAACCCACAACGAGGCCTTCCGCTGATTCTTGTCTGTCTCTCTCCTTCATCGAAAGCTTTGCGCTTCACGTCACCTCAGCCAGTTTAACCCCTTCTGCCATATCCCCCAAAGCGACTCTGGCACGCACGCACACACACCCATCCCGTGGCCTCAATTGATGTCACATATCCTTTTTGGCACTTCTCAAGCGAACAGCCTTCATAGCAGCCTCCACGGCAACCTTCAGCGCAACCTCGAGCACACCGCCGCAGCAGCAGTCGCCGTGGTCGCAGAAGCCACGCGAAACGAGACAGGAATCATGGCTCGTCTTAACTTCATGGGCGTCATCCTCAACTTCCTCCGGTCCCTGCCGCGGCCGTGCCTGTGCCCGCGCCGCAACGACCGCGTGCGGGACACCGCTGTGGCCGCCTTCCTCGGGTGCATCCTCGGCGCGCTACTCGTCAACATCGTCATAGGCGTACAGGCCGCACGGGAGAAGAAGAAGAAGCGAACCATGGGCAGGGTCGTCGGCGACCTCGGCGGGATGGGCGGGTTCAGCGCTGCTGGCCTCGGCCTCGGCGGCTTCGTGCCGGGCATGATGGGCGGGGACAAGAGCGTCGGCAATACACCCGTGGTCGGGTCGCAGCAAACTTTTGGAGGTATGGCCCATGTCCAGCAAGGCCGGCAGCTCCAGCCGCTGGAGGACCATCTCCAACAGAGGCAGCAGGTAATCGAGCAGCAGAAGCACCAGCAGCACCAGCAGCAACAGCCGAAGCAGAAGCAGCCCCTGGCGCCCCCACCCCGCAACAGCACCAAGCAGCAGCTACAACAGCCGCGTCAGCAGATGCAGCAGCTACGGCAACCACAGCAGAGGCATACGGAACCGTCGCTGCTGCAGCAGAGGCAGCAGCTGCTGGAGGAGGAGGAGGATCAACCGCTGGTGAGGCCGCGCTCTCACCCCGAGCAGCAGCAGTCGAAGGCATCGACACACCGGGGGACGCGGGCGACGTCCCTGCCTGGGACGCCCCGGCCGCTTGAGGCTCCGCGCATGGCCGGCCTCGCCGCACGTCCGGCGACGCGACGACGGCCTTGAGCGGTGGATACGGTGCAGATAGCCGGTGAGGAGCGCAGGGGCGTGAGTGATGGGTGAAAGTAGGGTTATGGAGGGGTTTTGCCTGGCTGGCTCCAGGGTTAGAAAGAGTTGCTGGATGGATAGACTGGGAGGTGGCATGACTGTTTGCTGTACGCTACGTCGCGGTGCGGTATGGCACTGAGTCAATGGCGGGACGGTTTGCTTTGGATGCTGCTCGGAAGATACGTGTAATAGAACGGAAGCCCTGATTTTCTCCTCGTTCTCGGTACACGTGCACTCACATCCACCGTCATCTTGCAGCAAACCCTGCCGAGATTCATAAGGACAGGCAGTCGGGCCTAATCCCGTCATATACAGTTGCAAGGTAACTAACTACCCATATGTTGCCCCAGGACTGAATAGCCGCTTCCAGTGGCCGCCTACCTACCCCCGCGGCACAGGACTGCTCATCACGAAGCTCCCCTCACGGTTTGGTAGCCCTGCTATGAGGTTAACGCACGAACGAACGAACGCCAGCATCCCCTCACACCATGCTCGCTTCCGTGTCGAATATATATATATATATATATATATATACCCCCACCACCCGCGCTCACTCTAGTAAAGCGTTTACAACCCGAACCCCAAGCCACAGAAGCCCCAGCCCAAGCCCTTCAACTACGTGCAAGCACGAAGTACGCCACGACGCATTCTACAGCGCTCAGCACCTATGCGTCTCCGAGACGGCAAGAGAGACAATGGCAGCGCTGACGGCGACGGCGGCGGCGTGTCGCCTCTCTTCTGGGGCGTCGCGGCCGTGGGCTGCACCCTCGCGCTGATGCTGTTCGCATACCTCTGCATGAGGGGCAAGAGGGGAGGCAGCAGCAATCACAGGAACAGCAATAGTAACATGATTAAAAGTCGCGGGGGGGCAGGTCGTCATGGTGGCGGTCTACCCGGCGGAGGCGGGCACGGACACGGAATGATGACGGACATCGAGATGGGCGGCGGCGGCGGGTCGCATATGCCACAGGTGCCGAGCCGTAGTAGGCCCAAATAGGTAGGGGGGATAAAACGGCAGAGGTGAGTTGCAAACGTATGGCTACTGGCGCAGAGGAGGGCGCGCATCACGAAGTTCCTCGGATGGTTTGTGAGCCTTGCTGACGGGGGTTATACCACGATCGAACACCAGTATTCACTTACACTATCGTCGTCTTCCCCGTTCCGAGTATATATTCCCGCTACGTTCGTTTACTCAAGTCGGCGTTTACAAAGGAAACCCACCAAAGCCCCTTCAACTATAACTACAACTATAACTGCAACGCGCTCAACAGTCAACAGCCCTCAGCATGCATCCCGGGGACGGCAACGTGGTGGACGGAGGCGGTGGTGGCCTGGTCAAGCGGGACCTGGGCGGCGTGGCAATTTTCTGGATCATCGCGGCCTTCGGCATCGGCACGCTAATTATTCTTTTCTATTGCATACTTAAGCCGGTCATTCGAAAGCGCAGCGCCAGAAGAAGTCGCGGGGGTGGTCGTCACGGCGGCGATATGCCGAGCGGAGTCGGCGGAGTCGCATTCGCAGGCGGACACGGAGGCGGACATGGCGGCGAACACGGCATGATGGACATCGAAATGGGCGTACCGCGCATGCCGCCGGCGAGCCGCGGCAGGCATAGGTAGACCGTAGAGCCATACGGTGTAGCGGCCGAAGTCGAGGGCTGTGGCTGGATACACGTGTGCATATCAGAGCAGCAGCGAGGTAGACAAGTCAAGCAAAGTGCCGAGACAACCGCGAGACGAACTGCAAGCGATAAGCCTGGTGCCTGTGAGTGAAGTAAATCGTAGGAGCGGCGTGATGGAGGGGATGGAGGGCCTGCCGGGTTGCGACGTACAGACTACAGAGGACGCGGTCACGAGGCCACTTACTTGGTCACGGTGAGCGTGGCCCATGATGATGCGCCAGCGTGCCAAGAATGCATCATGTTTGTGCGACTCGCGCGTCTCCGGTGTCGTCCCAGCACTTCCCGGGGCGTATGGCGTTTGCATCACCGACACCAGAACTGATGGATCAAGCGGCGGCAGGTCGACGACTCAAGCTCTGAGAGGCAGGACTCTCTACTCGCACCCTTCCCCCCATCCACCGCGCAGGCGAGCCCAGAGACAGGAACCGACTGCTCCGATCCTGCGTCAGCTCCCATCATCTTCTCCCCAGAGACGTCGTCGCCAATACACAGCAGACGCATGGCAGTAGGAACGCTCGGCGGGCCGTCTCCAGATGGCAGAGACGAAGCAACGGCGTCCCACAACTGGGCCTGGTTCGGCTTCGGCTTCGCGTGCGGTTACGGCACCTTTGTCGTGATGCTCGGTCTGTTCCTGGGCCACCAGATGAAGAACCTGCCGTGGCTGTGGGAGGCCGAAACCGCCAAGCGGAGGCGCGAGGCAGAGGCAGAGGCGGCGGCGGCGGCGGCAGCCCGTATGCCTCCACCACCACCGTCGGCGAGCCCGTCGGGTCCCTGCGCGTGAATGAAGACAATCCGACGCGGGAGATTGACGCGCGACGACATCGGACAAAGCTGCTCTCCCCTCTCGCGTGGGTCTGCTCGGTGAGGACGCGCATCCATGCGGCAAGCAGGCAAGCAGCCCTCGAGTCACCGCCCGGGCGCCCTCTGACGCGGCGCCTCGTCGAGCGGCAGTCATTTAAAGCGTAGGCCTCGCGGCCTGTCTCATTGTCGGGCCTCTCTTTGATTTTAATCTCCTTAGGAAAAGGTCCCCGACCGAGCGTTGGGTCGGCGATAGAAAGAAAAAGGTCGATCACGACAAAGCAAATGAGCAAACGCCGCAGCGGCCGCGCACTCACTCGTCGAGCACCCTCACCACCACCACCACCACCACCACCACCACCATTGCGAGCGCACAAGCACACTCTCCAGCATGAGCGGGGGCGGCATCATCCAAGCCAGGTCCACCAAAGAAGAAGTCGTCGGCGGGCTCGTCATCGGCTGCGTCCTGGGCATCGTAGCCTTTGTCGTCAGCTTCCTTGCGCTGTTCTTCGTCAAGGGCTGGTTCCTCGACTTGCGAGCCGGCCGCCACCGCCCTTGGGCGCAGCAACAACCACAACCACGGAGACCGGATCGAAATGCCCGGCCGCGGATGGCGGAGGCATGAGACAGGGGCGCGTTCGTCGGGAACCGGGGCTGGGACTCTGCAGTTTGGGATCGAGTGCGGCAAGAGATATGTTGATGGATGCCAGGGCTGGAGCTGGCGGGATGTGAGTCTATGGGATCGGGGAAGGAGAGGTCACCCCGATTGAAGACGGGAACCCGCTCGCGGGATTGGTTCGCAGAGCGATGGGTTCTGGCGGCATTTTGCTGAAATGATGATGATGATGCGGTCGTCTGCACATTATTCCACTCAACTTGATGAAATCATGCCAACTTCAACTTCCTTTCACATTTAAGGAAAGTGCACTGCGCTGGGGAAGCGGCATTGAAGGGTCACGTGATGGCGCGTATTCCGTGACGCGACCCCATCACGGAGTCGCTCCTGCAGCCCCTCGTCGACCATCCCGCCAGCGACCAGCCCCAGCAGCACCTCGAGCGCAAGGCCAGGCATGGACATTGCCCGCGGCTCGCGTCGAGCCCGCCATGTCGCCGCCAACGCCGCCGCCGCCGCCAATGCCTCCGACGGCAACGGCACCAGGGCGAACCGCACAGGCGACGCGGTGACGCCCGCTGCCCCTGCCCGGGAACGCCCCGCCGCTGCTGCATGGCCAACGACGACGCCCGACAACGACCTCGCCCACGACGAGCATGAGCCTCGGCGCCTGCGCGAGCCCCCCGGCTTTAGGCGTGCCCTCGACGATGCCGCTGCGGCGGCGCACCCTGTCTCTTATACACATCTAGATGTGTATAAGAGACAGGCGCCTGCGCGAGCCCCCCGGCTTTAGGCGTGCCCTCGACGATGCCGCTGCGGCGGCGGCTACGGCTGTGGCTGCGACGACCATGGCCCAGCAGCAGCTGGATCCGCATCGGACCCCCGAGCAGGCGGCCCATCACCATCACCACCACCACCATCATCATCACCACCATCGCGTGCGCCAGCATGCCTCACCGCCAGCCGTTGCTGGGCCGCCGCCGCCGCATCCCTTTCGGCTTCACCGGTGTAAGTACTTTAAATGCGTTGTTGGGCTGCTGCACGACCATTGGCACTTGCAATCGCTGCTGCGATAGAAGTAAGAGTCGCTGCCCGAGTGGGCATCGCAGCATGCACTCGCCTGGAACCACAGCGTGCCTCGCTGAACAGGCCGCCGCAGGGCCTCCATTGCCAGTGCCAAGCTCGGCCACCTGCCTTGCCTTACTTACACGGATCCATGAATCCAGTGTGTTCAGCATGGTTTGCTCGGCATCGGTCCAGGAGTTCACCTCTGCACCCGCGCACACACGTGGCGCCTGCTCCGCAAACCTGCCTGTCCACTCGCCACGTCCACGCTCGTTTTTGCACACTCATTTTCCATTGCTTCCACTCGTTTCCAAACCTTCGTGCCCACCATCCGCCCGCAAGCCCTCGCCTTGATACCTCATCTGCATCATGTTCTACGCCCCCAACGTCGGACCGACTCCACCATCCAGCCCTGCCTCTGCCGGCGAGAACTCCCCCGTTCGGATCTACCAGGATCCCGAGGAGCGCAACTCCCGCCTCCCACTGCAAGAACTTCCCATCACTCCTTTCGGAGACGTGCTTTCACGCCGAGGTCCTTCGTTCCGGCCCATACCCTCCATTGACAAAGAGAACTACCCGGCCCTGAGATCCGCCCTCGACCATCGTGAGCGAGTGCTCGCCCAGCAGGCCCTAGACGTGGCCCACGCCCTCGACCAGATGCAATTTTACCGAAACCTCCTTCAGCAGTCTCTTGCCGAGGTTTCGTCCGCGTCGTCCGCGATCGCTGACCCAGACGAACTTCCCCCAGCCGCCCACATGAACGCAAACACCCGCCTCAGCATGCCTCTCGACTCGGATGAGTCCAGCTCCGAGCCGGACCTCAGCGTCCTGGGCATGGCGCGCGCTGGAAACGCCGGTGCCGATCACCAGATGAACGCAATGGCCTACGATGAGGACGAGGTTCTGTCCCAGGAGCAGTACGAGGACACCAGCCTCGAGGACCCCGTCGAGGAGCACGACGTCGCTCCCCTCTTCGACCCGGCCACGGTTGGTCTCAAGGAGATTTCAAACCTCGGCAAATTCACCGTCAGCAGCCACAAGCCCGGCTGCGGCGTCGACGAACTGCGCAGCGACGACCTGAAGATGTACTGGCAGTGAGTGTCGATACCCGGGCTTTCCATCCTACGCCTCTCGCCCGGACTAACCTCGCCGCGCCAGATCGGATGGGCCCCAGCCTCACAAGCTCACCATCTACTTTGTCAAGCGGGTCGGCATCCGTGACATTCGCTTCTTTGTCGACTACAACGAGGACGAGTCCTACACGCCCACCAAGATCGTCTTCAAGTCCGGCACGAGCGAGAACCACCTCATCGAGTTCGCCACCATGAACCTCGACAGCCCCGTCGGATGGCAGCAGGTGCCCGTCGCCGGCGCGGGAGGCGAGCCGGACGGAAACACCCTCGTCTCGTACGTGCTCCAGATGCAGATCCTCGAGAACCACCAGAACGGCAAGGACACCCACCTGCGCGGCATCAAGATCTATGCCTTTGACGCCGACGCGGCCGCCGGACGCGAGATTGCTCCCGCGGACGATGACGATGATGAGGACGACGAGGACTCCGCCGAGGCCATGGACGTGAGCGACGACGAGGGCGCCGCTACCACCGCGGGCCAAGCGGGCTTCAGCGACAAACTGGGCGACATTGCCCGGATCCTGGCCGCGGCCAGACTCGAGTCCGGCGAGACTGGGCTCACGCTCCCCGACTTTATGCGGGAGCCTGAAATCCGCTGATGCAACTATATGACAAGCGGGAGAAACAACCGCGTGAAGAAGTGGTGGAAGTGGAGAGGGTGTGTACTTGTATGAATCCGGACGATGCCATGATATGCGCAGATATTGCGACCCCAACCACGGACAAGGGCGGTAGGGCCGCTCAAGGCGTTGATGGAAAGGGAACTTTGCTGTAACAGGGGATGCGTCTCTAAAGTTGCATGTAACTCATCGGAGGATGGGCATATGGACATGATATTGTGTCTCTGTTCTGGGGCAACAAGCCTGCTCGGAGATGGGCAGCGTACGACACAACGTACGCCATGAATGCGAATTTAATTGTCTTCAACACTTCCTGTGCCGACTGTCACTAGCCAGTCATCTCATTCTCGAGACAAGTCCAGTCTTGTTGCTCAACAGCTTCGGCCAAGCATTGCGGTGCAGGCCACGTGCACAATCATGATCGTACGAGAAACCGGGACGGAGCAACATCAAACAGGGTAAATCCAGCTCCCCGCTCGGTCGGCCATGGTAATAACCCGGGCACCGTGGCGGTGCGACCCGGCTGGTCCCATGAGATGTTGGGTGCCGTGCCGTGGCGAGTGGGCGAGCTGCATCCTGCGAGGCTGCCTCATCAGCAGTCACTGACAAAAGTGCACATTGGGGCAATGGCCTACATGGCGGTGCCTGCTCTGCCACGATCATCTTATTCCGTTGCTGCGCATCCCGGGGTCGGGAGCAAGCGACGTGATAGCCACAGCCGTCCGGGTCTAGGGTGGGGCTAAGCCCCGGATGCAGATCAGAGACGCCCGGAGCAAACGCCGACCGTCATCGCTGGTCAGACACCAGCACGGGGCGACAGGGCGGCAGTGGAAACGTGAGACACAGCCTTGTGGAGCTTGCTGGCCATGGACCCCAGGACCCTAGTTGGACGGTCTCTGAGGTCAGACTGGAGAGTTACTGCGGCAACTCTCGATGACGGACCTGGCGGGCGAGAGAGATGGACAAGCGCTGCACCACGAAGAGTCAATGGGCGATCGAGTTCCTTGCGAGGGGCCTCCGTGAAGCGTTGCTCGGAAGCAGCGATGCCGGCTCTGTTTCGTGGGCGAGCTAGGCTCGGTCGGCACCGTCGGCCTTCCGACACACCACGATGGACGAGTGATGTGGTCTGGATGTCGGGCAGCCAGTCGAGAAGGTTTCTGGAAGTTTGGTCCCCGCAAATGCATACCTGCACTGCACAGCCATGCAATACCAGCCGGGCAAGACTCGTGCGACGGCATGCCGCGACGGATCTCATTGTCTTATTGACCGTATGGCCAGCTCGCCGAGGGCGAAAACAGGTCGGTCGACGAGGCCGAGGAGCTGGGCCCAGATGTTTGACTGGCTGTGTTTGATGGCCTGGCCGGGGTCTTGAGATACCGGAGTTGTCTGGCACATCAGACACGCGGGTGTCGCCCCCTGGAGTGGTTCGGGCGGTGGAGGCAGTGCACGGGCACCAACAGGGGGTCACCTACCTGCAGTGTGTCACGTTGGCCCAGGGCGTCGGCTCTGCAGTTGCACCTGCGCTGGGTAACTTTGAGGGGGGCTTGGGGGGCCTGGACATGGTCGACGGACGACTTCGCATTCATCGTATGACGCATTGGAAGACGCTGCCGAGGCGCGCCAAGCTCGCGGCGCGCAGACCAGGCGTTGGCGCGGGCTCCACAGCGACAGGCAGCGCTTTGAGGAATCGCCCAGGAGGATCAGTATGGATGATCAATCTGTCAAGGGTCAATATTTCGATGCGACGAGACGTCGATGAGGGGACGAGAGTGGTACAGTATCAAGTTGAAGAGCCTTGCTCGTGTCTGTGCGCCGTGCTTCGCTCACCCTCTGCGACTTGCTGGCCGTTTCCCCATCCGAGCGCCGACGCAGCTCTCCAGCGTGCACCTTCCCCGAGCTCAAGCTAGTGGTGTGTGCATTCGCCAGATGGCCACACGGGCAACAAGACAGGCAGGCAGCTCCTTCCTCTGTGCCGGGTGGCGGCCGCGGCCCCGCTCGGCCCAAGCGCCTGCCGACGGTAGAAGTGCCCGGAGTACGTATGTACATGCATCGTCGTGCATGTTGCGCCCAACCACAGCCAGCCTTGGCCTGCCTGGCGGCGACTCCCCTTTGGACGGCGCACCTATCGATCCCACATAAGGTACATCCGGTCTTGGGCGGGCGATTTGGCCAGTTCTCATGGAAGGGAGTTTCCCCTCACACCGGGCGCCGGCCATGAGGCAGGCAGTGCCAGAAGTGCCATGGCCCGCCCCCCGGCCTCCACCGTCCTACACACCACCTTGCTCGGCCACTGCGTGCCGGCCATCGCTCTCCACTCGTCTGCTTGGGGCGTCTCTCACTAACGGGGCAACGCCCGCTGCCAAGAGGACGTCAGACTTCCCAATCCCCTCCCTCCACACAACGCCCATGTCGTCAATCTCATCATCACTTCTCACACGCTAGACCACAGTGACATTATTTAACCACGCCGTCATCCCCCTTGCTCGCACACTGAAGCCCATCCACACGTCTATCCATCCATCCAGACCCCTTGTCACACCACCTCTGGCAAACAAATACATTGCACTTTGTTCGCCGTCGCCGTCTGTAACCGTCCACGTCGCACCATCGCCGACGTTCGCGCTCCGATAGCCGTCCACCACTTGACATACTTATACGCGCCTCGCGGGAGCCCGCAGCCGCAACTACATAGCGATCCGTCGCCGCCACACTGGCATCCACAACTTCGTCCACGGTGCCCATCATGTCCGCTGTCAACGGCGAGAGCTCTACCACAAAGCCCCCTGGCGAACAGGGCGGCTTCGGCGGCGGCTTCCAGCCCCAGGGCAAGATGACCGTTCAGCCACCAAAGAAGGAGGACCTCCAGCGCAGCTATGCCTCGATCGTTGGTGACGATGGTAACCCCAGCGGGTGGTACGGTAGCATGGGTAAGTTCCTAAGACACTCAAAGGCCTCCCCGACTCGTAGCCCTCAGTCGCTCATCTGTGCATTACAGTCAACACGCTTGGTGGTTTGATGGGAACCCTCGGCGCCATACCCTGCTGCATCTGTTGCCCGAACCCGTATAAGAATGTCCATCAGGGCAATGTCGGCCTCGTCACCAAGTTCGGTCGCTTCTACAAGGCTGTTGACCCGGGTTTGGTTCGCATCAACCCGCTCAGCGAAAGGCTTATTCAGATCGACGTCAAAATCCAGACCGCCGAGGTTCCCGAGCAGATCTGCATGACCAAGGACAACGTCACCCTCCGACTCACTTCCGTCATCTACTACCACATCGTCTCCCCGCACAAGGCCGCCTTTGGCATTTCCAACGTCCGCCAGGCACTTATGGAGCGCACCCAGACCACGCTCCGCCACGTCGTTGGTGCACGCGTCCTCCAGGATGTTATTGAGCGCCGTGAAGAGATTGCCCAATCCATCGGCGAGATCATCGAAGATGTTGCTGCAGGCTGGGGTGTCGCCGTCGAGAGCATGCTCATCAAGGACATCATTTTCAGCCAGGAGTTGCAGGAGTCGCTGTCCATGGCTGCCCAGAGCAAGCGTATTGGTGAAAGCAAGATCATTGCCGCCAAGGCTGAAGTATGAGCCGCCCTCATCCTCCCAGCACGTTGCCTCGTTGTTTGCCAGAACTGACACATCTCGCTCTAGGTCGAATCCGCCAAGTTGATGCGCCAGGCTGCCGACATCCTCAGCTCTGCCCCCGCCATGCAGATCCGCTACCTCGAGGCAATGCAGGCCATGGCCAAGTCGGCTAACAGCAAGGTTATCTTCTTGCCCGGCAGCAGCTCCCAGAGCCTGAACGCTGCCATGGCCGCTCAGCATAGTTCCGAAGCCACGGGTGCTGGCGGCGCCGGCCACGACGGCCATGCGCAATATGACTTTGGAGGTCAGGACCCTGGCTTGCAGCAGGCCATCAACGCTCGCGTCGTGGAGACCCTCTGAGCGAAGCGCCAATCCCGTGACAGTGTGACTGTGGAATGCTAACTCTGGGGGTTTCGGGTGGCTTAGCGTGGTCTACTTGATTTCGAACGCCAGTTTGGCTGCAGACTGCCTGAGTCGTCTTCAACCGTCTTTGACTATACCTACCCGAGACCCCCGGAGATCACGTCCATCGTACCGTCACGCTCGCGATGTCACGACTGATCGACAAGTGGATTCGTTGCCCGACGACGAAGCCGTTCATGCTTCTTTTACTGTTTTCTTCTTTGCCCTGAAAAAATGGCTCGCTGTGTTTCTTTGACTTGATGCTGCGTGGAGCCGCAAGGAGCAGCGGTCCTGGGGGACGACGGGGCTGAATAATGACACTCGGCGACAGAAATGTGATACCCAGGGATGGACGTCGGCGATACGAGGGGTCGAGGGATGAGATGCAAGAGGCTGGCTGGTTGGTTTCGCAATGGATACCCCTAATCGCTCACTGGAAGGACCCGGGGCAGCTGTACAATTGTTTAGACTTGTATCCTGTTAATGCCACGCAACTCGCCTTGTGCTGCCTATCAATCGCGGATCCCGGAAATCCACATTTGCGCACAAGCCAAGAAGTGTGCCGGGCGCCATTGAACTCTCGACATCGTAACGTTAGCAAAGGCCAATCACCCGACAGTCGCGCGATGTAAGGATGCATGCTTTTTTGAACACATTCATTTCATACACCATTGGTGCCTGTCAACCTCCATCGTCTGCCCCGAAGCAGCTTGCCAGTTCCGGCAAACTGTCCACCGACTACTTCGACGTGGATGAGCATCCAAAATCAAGAAACAGCCCTACACGCCAGATGCCTCGAATGTCCCTCCCTCAAACGCCGGCCAGGAAATCGGCTCAACAAAAAAAAGACGCCCAGAAAAGATTCCCCTCCTCGGAAATCGCAGGTATCGCCATATATCTACACATTGCAGAACGAATTGCAGGCTTTGTGTGGTCCTGTGGTCCGCCTCCCGCGGGGGGCGAGACCGCAACCCTTCCCCAACGTTTTCAATTAGGCTTCCGAGTGGCGCTTCTTCTTCTTTTGCTTCTTGTCCTTCTTCGATTCGGCGGCATCCTCATCGTCGTCCTCGTGCTTGCGCTTCTTCTTCTTCTCTGACGCGGGCTCTGCCTTGACAGGCGTTGCCGACTTGACGGGGGTACCGTTGGCCTCAGCCTTGCGCATCTTCTTGATCTCCTTCTTGCTGAAAACCTTGGGGTTGCCATCGGCACCAAGCTGGACATCACCGCGCTCGTACTTTCGCTTGAACTTCTTGACCGACAGACCGGCAAGAGCGGCCAGGCGCTCATACTCGGCCTTGGACAGCTTGGCAACATTGGACTTGGCAGGGGTGGCGGCGTCCTCATCATCCGACTCATCCTCGGCGTCCTTCATCTCATCGTCAGACTCCTCGTCGACTTCTTGGATGAGGGCCTTCTTTCCCTTGGACTTCTTGCCGTCCTCGCCGTTGACGCCGTCAGCATCAACATTGTACCGGCGAGTTTCCTTGAGGGTGAACTGTCCGGGGGCCTGGATCTCGCCAGTGGGGCCAACGTTGGTGCCCTTGGGGAGAAGGGGCTTGCCCTCCAGCCGGCGTAGGTGGTTCTCCAGCTTGATGCGGTTGCTGAGGCCGAGAATGGCGCGCTGGTCCTCGTCTTCCTCGTCATTGTTGTCAAGGGCGTCGACACGCAGACCAAGAGCAGTCTTGGCAGCAAGCATACGGGCGATCTTGCCCTTGTTGCGTCCCGTGGCCTGGCCGATGAGGGACGAGTGGTAGAGAATACCGTACTTGGGAGTGTCGTGCTTGGTCTTGAGGGCGCGGAAGAGGGCCTTCTCGGCGCCGAGAATCTGGATCGTGGAACCAGGGGCCTTGGCCAGGTTCATGAGAGAGCCAGCGTGAGCGATGAGCCTGGCACCGACCAAGTAGCCAACCAGAGCAGTCAGGTTGGGGGCGATGGCGCGCATGCGGCTCTCGAGGTACGAAGACAGCTGCGCTCGGTACTCGGTGTACTGGATGACCTGCTCCGCCAGAGCCGTGATGTTGGCCAGATCGTCCTCGGTGATCTCCGTGCCCATGCTGATCTCGGCGGCCTTCTTGACGGCCTCTTCGGTGGATTCGGGGAGGATCTCTGAAAGGTCGGTCTCGGAAATGTTCGTTCGGAAGCCGGCGGTGATGATAAGGCGGGCATAGGCCAGGTTGTCGTTGAGGATCTTGGCCAGCTCGGGGAAGTGCCAGCCGTACCACTCCTTGGTGCGCATGGCGAAGACGTTGAGCTCCTTGTCCATGTCATCGATCAGGCGAATGGCCTGGATGATCATGGAGTCGATCTTGTCGACGGAGAACTTGAGCTTGTGGCGGGAGATGGAGTGAGAGAGACCCAGGGCCATGCGGTCCACGTTCTCTTGCAGCAAGCCCGGAATCAGGGAAGGGAGGTGCTCTCGGATGCCACGGAAGACGTCCATGGTGTTGGAACCCGAGACGGGCGAAATGTTGAGCTGGGGCAGGTTGGAGATGGCGGTGCCGAGCTTGGTGTCGGCGACGGCCAGCGAGGCCTTCTTCTCGGCCTTGAGGTCCTCGAGCAGGGAGTTGAGCAGCGTGGGGACTTTTCCGTCCTTGAGCGACGCCGCTTCCTCGAGGGCCATGGCGGCGCTGTCGAACTTGACAAACTTCTTCAACTTGAGCCTACGACAAGGAACGCTCGTCAGTCATGTGTCCATTTCTGCCACTGCTGGGATCTTGCTCACATTTCGACAAGCTTCTCGGGGCGGCCGAGCTCGGCGGCGAGGTCATCGTTCTTGAAGAGTTTCTTGTCGGCGGCCTTGAACAGGCCGTAGCTATTGTTGACTTATTGTTAGCACATTGCACTGGGAAGAGTTGGGGAGAGGATTGGGGACCGCAACTGCACGTTGCAATTGCAATTGCGGGCGGCAGGCACAACTCACCCCGCAGGCGTCTCGGCAAGAACAAAGAGAGACATGTCGGGCAGTCGTGAGTCCCTCCGGGGATCTTGCGCGGATCGATTGGGCTTCGACTTCCTCTCGTGGGCGCAATGGAGGGTGTTGTGCGCAGGCGCGATGGAGTTGCAGGAAATTTTTCAGCAGAGAGGATGAGAGAAAGCTGCAGGCTCCACCCAAAATTTTTGGACGGCAGCACTTGCCCTCTGCCGTGTGTTCGGTGTGAAGGGTCGCTGTTGCAGGAGGAAACTCGGCTTTTTTGGCGCCGGGCCCCGGCGCTACAGAAATTCCGGCGCTGCGCGACCCCACCAGGCCAGAGTCCCAGAGCCTCGAGGTACGTACCGGTCTCACGTGGAGGCCAGCCTCCCGTGGCTGGTGCTGTGGCCGGTGTTGCTCTTCAGCGCTGATGAGCCTGGTTTGGCCGCTGGGGCCGTGCTTGCAGCACTGGCAAGCCCCGACAGGACAGACTGAGGCTGGCCGACGTCTCCCGCCGGCTTCGACGACGTCCCATCCATTCCACCCACTCGCTCGCATCCGCCATCCATCGTCGACGCACGCAACACGGGTTGTCGCGTCTCGGCTTGTCTTTCTCGGTCCTCGCACAGCCAAAGCTGCACGGCTAGCAAGATGGAGGGCCTCTTCTTCAACGTGAACAACGGGTCAGTGCTCGCGCCCGCAGCTCCCCCCCCTCGAGCTCGCTCGGCTGACGCAACACAGTTACGTCGAAGGCATTGTCCGTGGCTATCGGAACAGCCTGCTGACCAGCCCGGCATACAACAACCTGACGCAATGCGAGACGATTGACGGTACGTTCGAATGGACCGCGACGATACTCGGCGACTTTACTGATGTTCGCGCAGATCTCAAGCTCCAGCTCGGCCCTGCGTACGGCGACTTCCTCGCCTCGCTACCCCCAAACCCGTCCACGTCCAGCCTCGCCTCCAAGACGACCGACAAGCTCATCTCCGAGTTTCGCTATGTCCGCGCCAATGCTGTCGGCTCGCTGGCGACCTTTATGGACTACGTCACTTATGGCTACATGATTGACAACGTTGCCCTGCTCATCACGGGCACGCTGCACGAACGCGACACTCGCGAGCTGCTCGAGAGATGCCATCCCCTCGGCTGGTTCGAGACCATGCCCGTCCTCTGCGTCGCAACCAACATCGAGGAGCTTTACAACAGTGTGCTCATCGAGACGCCTCTCGCACCCTACTTTAAGGGCAGCTTGAGCCACCAGGACCTCGACGAGCTCAACATTGAGATTGTGCGCAACACTCTGTACAAGAACTACCTCGAGGACTTTTACAACTTCGTCAACACCCATCCTGACATGGCCGGCTCCCCCACCGCTGAAGTCATGTCCGAGATTCTCGAGTTCGAGGCCGACCGACGAGCCATCAACATTACCCTCAACTCCTTCGGCACCGAGCTGAGCAAGGCAGACCGTAAGAAGCTGTACCCCAACTTCGGTAAGCTCTACCCCGAGGGAACCTTGATGCTCTCCCGCGCAGAGGACCCAGAGGGCGTACGTCTGGCCGTTGATGGTGTTCACGACTACAAGACGTTCTTTGATGCCGCCTCACTCGGCGGATCATCCGGTCCAGGCAACATGGGTGGCGGCTCCTCCGACGGCAAGACCCTCGAGGACATGTTCTACCAGAAGGAGATGGAGATTTCCAAGAGCGCCTTTACGCGGCAGTTCACGTATGCCATTGTGTATGCCTGGGTAAAGCTGAGAGAACAGGTGCGTCCAACAACCCCCTTCACTCAGCGTTTGTGACGGCCGCTAACACCAAGCAGGAGATTCGCAACATCACCTGGATCGCCGAGTGCATAGCACAGAACCAGAAGGACCGCATCGGAAACTTCATCAGCGTCTTCTCATGAGCCCCTTTGGTTCTCGTCTAATTGTTGTCAGCATGCGTGTAGTATAGCACACCCTCAAGTCATAAATTTCCTGCGGCAGGGTCTTATGTATTCGGCGTAAATGGCGGAGGGCACAGAAGAGCGGTGCGGACGCATTCGCTCGTCCTCGGATGGCTTGATGATATTGTACATACAGAACAGAGTATTCTACAGCGCTACTACAGGTCGATTTGGCCCTTCCACGTGGCGGGCGTCAGCCCCAGCTTCTCCAGCATGTGTGTCCACCTCTCGCTCCCGCGCTCCTTGCGCTCCATGTATGCGAGCAGCTTCTGGCGGCGGTGCAACAACAGTCTCAGATTCCTCTTGTTGTGTACGTCCTTGTAGCCCCTGTTGGTCTCGAGGGCCTTGCCCAGTGCCCTGATCTTGGCGGTCAGGATCGCGATTTGCACCTCGGAGCTGCCGGTGTCGGGGCCCGACCGGCCGGGCATGGGGGTGGTGTTTGGCGAGATGGACTGCGGCTTGGGCGCGAGGAACTTGTCCGTCTTGTGGCGGCCAAACTCGTCGATGATGCGCCGGACGTTTGCGTGGAAGCGGTCCCGGGCGCTGCCGTTGCGGAGCGACGTTATCCTCCGCAGGGCGTCGAGGGCCTTGTAGTGCTTCTGGTCGTGCAGCTTCTTCCGCTCCTCCTCGGTGGCCGGGTCCATCTGGGACTCGACGACGCCGACCATGGGCTTGGTCAGGGCGTAGGCGTGCCTCGCGGCGTCGTCGAGCTCGGCGTCGGTGAGGAAGTGGTTGCGCAGGCCCGGGGCGGTGGGCAGGTCGCGCGGCTTGCCGAGCAGGTTGCCGCTCGCGTCGCGCGGCACCCCGCTGGCGCTGTCCTTGTCCTGGCCGGCCGCGTCGAGCGACTCGAGGAAGGGCGTCGTCGTGCCCCATACGGGGTCGCCCCAGGCCGCGTCGCGCTGCTTCTGCAGCTCCTCCCGCCGCTTGAGGTTGGCGTTCTTGCGCTGCTGCGCCTGCGCCCACTTGTACGGGTCCTGCTTGGCCTTGCGCTTCTTCTCGCGCATCGACAGGTTGGCCGTCTGGACGACGGGGAGGAAGTTGGGAGGCGATGGCCGCGTCGCTGGCCGTAGGCACACTGGGATGGATGAGTTAGCCACGGGGAACGCAGTCCGGTGGGCAATCGGGGCGGGCATTCTTACGGCTGACGGTGCCGAGGCGCTGCAGCGCCTCTAATCTGGGAGGCATGGTCGTTGGCCTGCGAAGCAGATGTCGTGATCGTGAGCTTCGCAGAATGGGCTTGCTAGCCTTCTGACAACCTGACCCTCAAAATTTCCCCGGCCCGGCTTGACGGCCGGTCCACGCTGGGCAGCCCGTCGTCTGAGCGCATCGCCCGGAAAGGCCTAGCGTGACACATCACGTGTTGGATCAGCAACGCCGACCTCACGCACTCGCGCTAGCCCCAAACGGTGTAAGCGGGTTCAGGGCTTCGCACCCACCCACACATTTTCGGGTTTTGCGAAGCGCTTCAACCACCCTCGCGAACTTTTTGCGACTGCTTCCTGCACGACATCCTCCTTCTCTCTCACCCCCATCTGATTTTCCTACCTCCCCCAAAGGAAGAAAACATCCAGTCAAGATGGCGCCCTCCAACCTGCCCTCCGTCCTCAACGCCACCAGCCAGGACATTGAGATGCTCCTGGCTGCGCAGTCTCACCTCGGCAGCAAGAACCTCCAGGTGCACATGGAGCCTTACCTGTGGAAGACTCGCGCCGACGGTGTCAACGTGATCAACATTGGCAAGACCTGGTAGGTGGCCCTCCGCGACAAGGAGACAAAGTCAATGGGCGGAAGAAGCACCGTCGAGGTGGGAACGATTGTTAATTGTGTTTCGCGCTGCAGGGAGAAGATTGTCCTCGCCGCCCGCATCATCGTCGCCATCGACAACCCGGCCGACATTTGCGTCATCTCTGCCCGTCCCTACGGCCAGCGCGCTGTCCTCAAGTTCGCCGCCCACACCGGCGCCTCGTCCATCGCCGGTCGCTTCACCCCCGGTAGCTTCACCAACTACATCACCCGCTCCTTCAAGGAGCCCCGCCTGATCATCGTCACCGACCCCCGCACCGACGCCCAGGCTATCAAGGAGGCCAGCTACGTCAACATCCCCGTCATCGCCCTCTGCGACACCGACTCCCCCACCGAGTACGTCGACGTTGCCATCCCCACCAACAACAAGGGTCGCCACGCCATCGGCACCGTCTGGTGGCTGCTCGCCCGTGAGGTCCTCCGCCTCCGCGGCACCATCTACAACCGCGAGACCCCCTGGGACGTCATGCCCGATCTGTACTTCTGTATGTTGCTGCTGCTGCTTGCTCACTGAACCCCCAACAAGGTAGTAGAGTGTTTCAATGCTGACCCCGTTGGCGACAGACCGCGACCCCGAGGCCGAGGCCGAGGAGAAGGTCGAGGAGGAGAAGGCTCCTGGCGTCGACGAGGAGGGCCCCGCCGCCATCGAGACCGGCACCGCCGCCGCCGGTGGCGACTGGGACGCTGCTCCCGCCGCTGGCTTCACCGGCGCCGCCACCGCCGGCGCTGGCTGGGACGGTGCCGAGGGCGGCGAGTGGGCTGCCGCCGGCCAGACCACCGAGTGGGCCGCCGAGGCCTCCAAGGAGACCCAGTGGTAGGAACCCGGTCCCGACAACGGCTCTTCGGCTGGCGACAACGTGCAGTGGTGAATTGGTTACGGGTCATCGGAGGCGTTCCCCAGGCTTGCAGGTTCTGCTGCCTTTGGAGGCCCTGGTCGACTTGGTGGCACTTATGAGGGAAAGATACTCGGCCTTGCCTTGGCGGCGATTGTGCTTTTGCTGAAGTCCTTGATTGGCCTCATCAGGAGTGTGTACATTGCTGTTCTTAGCGAGGAAGAGGGAAAGCCCTGTGTCAGCCAAAGGGGTGGACTTGACCGTTGCCCCGCCATGGTTTTCTTTTCCTTAGGCATTTTCCGTTGCGTGAAGCTCTTAGCTATTCCGAGTGAGACAAACTCATAAAAAGACCGAAAAAGTACCATACCCACTTCTCCGTCTCCCATTTACGTGTGCTTCGGTCTGCGTCCCGTGTTAATTGAGCTCATCTCACTCCGCATTCACTCACTCACTGTCCAGCCATGACGATTTAGTATCATAAAGGCAGCCTGTACAAGGTCACCAGAGGCTCCATGCCCCTTGTTTTATTACCAGCCTGACTGGAGTGTACATGGTAGGATCCCATGTTGGATCAACGCGGCGACGTCAAAGAAGGCCCCAACCGCAGCTCAAATCCAACACCTACCCACCCACACGTACAGGAACAGGGCTAAAAATCCATTGCATATCGTGATGCTGCCAGCCTAGCGCCGTCTAATCCCACCGGTGGCGCCTTCGCCCCATCGCTCCCTGGTATCAACGGGACCTCATCCTTAAAGGTCCAACAGAAAAGAGTAAAAACCAAAATAAGCCAGAAAAATAAAATGTGCTGCGCTGCATGTAACTCCCTATATTGGGTATCTGTGGGTGTAATGTCCTCGCCTCGCGTGCGTGTTGTGTGTGTGCTGATGAACGAAGATATTTCGCATTGAAGTGTAGTCATGGCCTCAACTCCGTAATCGCATCAAGGACGAATGCATGCGGCGACAAAGGAGACTGTGATGAGCCGTAAGCGGGTTTGTGCTATCATGGTGTATCCAGTGATCTTCCGGGTCGAAAATGTAACTGAGGACAATGCACGATTATTCGACAAAGGAGCCAGAGCCGTGGCTAAAGAGCGGACGTATGGTGTTGGTGCAGTTGCAAATCATGGGTATTGTGAGTTTCTTTGGAGGCGTGACAAGAGCGTTGAGCAGTGGCTAGCTCTGCCTATTCAAGGCTTTCAGAATGGCGTCTGATTTCTTCATCGTTCAAAGCTCCGACCCAAAGGCAGCGTTCGGTGATTCCCTCGATGGGAACAAAGGCGTATCTCGTGCTCGCTTCCAGAAGGCGGAGAAGCGTCTTGACGACGGCAGCAGCGATGCGACAGCGCTCAAAATTAACCAGCGGTGCCGTCGTGGGAGAGCTTGCAATCTCCGAAGGCCGCTGAGCATTGTACAGCAGGTCGTGAGTGTAAATGCCCACAAACGGAATGCATCCTGCATCGGAGCCCATCTCCATCTCTGCCCGGATGGCGTGAAAGTTCCGGCTCGGCGTCACCAGGGCCTCTAGACTGTTGAGTGTCTTGATATCATGCGCAGGCACCAGCTTCCATGTCTGTGTCAGGCGAGATACGTCGTTGCTAGACAGCGCAATGGCCAGCTGGGCCAGCGTCGCGAAGTTGCGGTACCGTCGGCAGTGAGAGGCAATGTGGATGAGCTTGATGATACATCGGGCGCGCTCCTCGATGTGTTGAGTGAGGACGATCTCGGAAATGGCCCATTTGACCATGATGTTGAACCGCGCGATCACCACCTCGACGCCCTGTGCCTCGCTGTTCTGTAGGTAGTGCACCCAAGAACGAGAGTCGCTCCTAGCGGCGTTCTTCCAGTTCATATCTATCAGTTCTTTCCAGTCAATTTCGTTCAGCGCGTCCTTCTCGATCAGAGTGAACTGCTGGGCGAGAATGTCCGAATCGAATGCCAAGATGAAGGGCAGGTGAACCGAGTACTTTCGGATGTTGCCGAATCCGGGCAATGCGTCTGAGGGGTTGGAATCGCTGGGCCCTACCAGGTCAGGTGATGAAGGCTCGTGGCCCTGTGGAAGGGTTGGCGTCAGCTCTGGTGAAGGGAGCAACGGTTGCGCCGAGGCATTTTGGCCTTCGTGAGCATTCTGCTTCTTGGAAGGGTCGGGCGCCATGGCAAGGGCCTGAACCAAGGTCATCTGGTGCGTGGACGTCCTTGACGTGGCCGAGGGCCCGCGCAGGTGGTTGGGAGACTTATATTTCCCAAACAAGTCATTGTCCGAGTCCCCGCCTTCAATGTCGTCAACAGAGAGTTCCGAGGACAGGTCGGTGCCGTTCGCGCTGGCGTCGTCTAGGAACGACTGGGTTTTGGTTTCCGAGGGCGCAAGCTCTCCGGGCTTGATCCTCTCGATACTGGCAGTCTTCTCGACCAGGTCAAAGGACAGGTGCTTTCCGGGTTCTGCGTCGGCGGCTTCTGGGTTCCGCTCCACCTCGACCAGCGAGTCGCTGTCATCGGAGCCCCTCAGAACGGACCTGTCAGTCCACTCCATCGTTCCGATTCTGCTTCGGGCGCCGTCTGTCAAATCCCTGTCAAGCAGAGGGATAGAGCAATAGGACTCCTGAGAGCCAACGGAAAGAAACGACTTCATCTCCTTGCGTGGCGTGGGCTTGACTTCCTTTGGGGGTACTGAATCTGCCGGCTCCGGCGCTTGCTCAACCACGGTATCAGGTGGACCATCGATGATGTGCAGGTGTCGTTTCTCATGCTTCTCTTGCCGCAGAGCATCCAGGTCATCGAGATTCGCATCCTTGTCAAACGTCTCTTCAACGTCCTCCGCGACAGGGGAAGGCATCTTCACTTCCACTGACCGCTTGAAGGTCTTCTTGTCGTATTTCCCCTCGAGTTTCGCCAGTGCGGACTCGATGCCTCCGTCGTCGTCGTCATCCGGGATCTGCGCTAGCTTCTGAGCCTCCGCCTCGAACGAAGGGCGCATAATGGGTTTAGATGAGTGAGTGCTGAAAAGTGATAAGTCCCGCTTGGTGGGCTGCTTGTCGGCAAGTTGACCGACGGAGAAGGTTCCGTCGTGGCCCAATTGCGCTCTTGGCGAAAACGAGTTCGTGTTTCCAGCAGAATCGGGACGTGTATCGAGCAAATAAGAGCTGCGGATAGAGTCCGTGTAGGCTGCGAGCGAGCCCACAGATCGAGACCTCCGGAGCGACGTTCTGTCAAGATCCGCGACGTGGTTCGCGGCCCGAAGATCTCCTCCGGGACGCCTCCGTAGAACATGAAGCGGGGCTGGCATGGGAACCTCGGAACCTGCGTCAGTCACGGAAGCCCCTGAATCCGTCGTTGCGTCGAAGCTGAGCACGGTCGCGGGAAGCACGCTGCCGCTGCCAATTGAGCTGTAGTTGCGATGCATGATCGAGTTGAGGGACTGAGGAGTCCCTTTGGAGTGACTCTTCTTATGCATTCGAAAGGTTCCTCCGCTCACGGGCGGGCGTCTTGCCCGACGCGACGCGGACAGAGATGGACGGGGTAGATCCTCCGAGGCTCGTGTGCTCTGTCTCCCCTCGAGTGTCGCCAAGTCTGGGATGAAAGGAGGCAGAGCATCTTCCATCAACGGACTTCTGACATGCTGGTTGAGGAGAAACGACGATCTCCGTGGCGTGTTCCCTCGCACAGAGTTGGAAGGGGGGGTGTTAGGCGGCGTAGGGTCCGCGGCACTGGCCATGAACGCATCTGCGAACGTGTCGATAGATGGGTTCGCTGCGGTCGGATAATGCCCCGGAGCCGGAGCCATCTCAAATGGAACGGTGTCGTCGACGATGACGATTGACTTGCTGCCGATGGTGATTCCCATGTCACTGACTGGTCGCGGCTTCTGAACATGGGAAAACCCATCAAAGGTGCTCGACTCCATCAGAGCAGCCGAGTAATCCGGGTGCCCTCCGTACGGTGGTGCAGACTTGGGCGGCGCGTCCAACTCTAGGCGTTGTGCCTCGGCCTGGGCAGCTGCTTCCTCTTCGCGAACAGCCTTCTTGAAATCTTCGGCCACTTCCGCTCCGAGGAGATCGATGCGGACCGGCGGTCGACCTACATGGTTCCTGGGGCGGCCCAGGGGCACAACGGCAGTGCCCGGAAGCCGGTTCGTGGTAGCGCCACGAGGGCCCACGGGAGCGATGGTCATGAAATGGCCTTCTGTAGGAGAGACGCCTCCACCCCGAGCACGTATGGCTCGGCGGACGCTACCGATGAGTTTCCTCATCCCGGTCCCCGACATAGCACCGCCCACGTTCCTAATTTTGGGAAGCTCGCGACTGCTGGGCTGGAAAATGGTTGTCTGCCGGTTGTTGCTGCTGTATGGCCCGTACGGCTCATAGTCAACGTAGGCCTGAGCCGGGGGTAGCAGGTTGCCGCGGACCAGGCTCCCGGCTGAGGGCAGCAGCGTCGAAATGTCCTGGTCGTGGGACGAAGATCTGTCAGAGCCATGATCTCGCAGCGAGTCGCTGATGCTGTTGTTACGCTTGTGGGTCTGAGCCGGTCGCACGCGTTTGCCTGTGAGGGCCTTTGGTGTCGTTGCCACTTGTGCGGCCCCAACGGTGGTGGACGTCGTCGGGACTGGATGTGCTGCCATGAGCTGTGAGGCACTGGGATTGAGGGCCTTGAGGCTTTTGCTGGGAAACGAGCACGAGACAATGTCCATGCTGGCCATGCTGAGGGGTGAGCCCGCCGCTTCCTCCCAATCAGTTCCATCGCTCACTCTATTCTCTGGAGTGCCGGGTCGATTTCCTGGGAGGACAAAGTCTCCAGCGGGCGGGATCTGCGGAGCATCAATGTAGAATGTTGTTGGCCCGGTACCCGTAGGGACTTTAGGCATTGGTCGGGAGGCATTCAGCTGCGCCGCGTCCGTGTCTCCCCGCTCGGCTTCCGCATCCCCGGCCACGCCGCCTGGCGAGATGGGGACCTCCGGCCCGAGGGAGTCGTCGAATTCCGGGCCATCCCAGTACTGGGCGCAGATGCGTCTCCAGCACTTTTTGAGCTCGGCCAGGATCTTCAGCTGAACCTTGCGCGAGGACTGGTCCTGCGACACCTCCTCGACGAACTCGTTGAGCAGGGTGCAGAACGTCACGCGCAGGTCGTAGTCGAATATGAAATCGTCGGTGAAGTAGTTCAGGATCCAGTGGCGCACGGCAACGAAAGTCCGCACCCGAACGATCATCCCTCGCTCATCCTTGCGCGACAAAGCCCATCTCAACCGTGCGACGAGCATACGAAGCAGACTGGCAGGCTCCAAGAAGGCTCTGTAGGTGAGGAAGAAGTCGGATATCAGCTCGTAGTCGAGAAAACTGGGGGACGTGATCTCGGCAACCAAGCGCGGCGGAGTCGCTGCCGTCACCGCGCCGGTGGGGGAATATCGAACAATGGAGCGGTCATCACAAGCGGGCTTGAACGTCAGCTTGGTGAACATGGCAGGTTCGATGACCAAGTGGGTGGACATGTAAGTATCCCGTACGGGTGGAGGAGAGGGCTTGGGCGAGGGCGGCGGCTCCGGCGGGTTTTGCTGCGACGGTACTCGTATTCGTGGAGGCTCAGCCGCGAGGACACCCAGCCCTCGCGGCCCCGGTTCGGGCAAGCGCAAGCTGTGATCCTTGGGGGAAGGGTTCAGCAGCGAGACGCTGCTGGATCTGACGTCCTCGGTGGGGGCATACGACGATCCGCGTAAGATGGGTGTGCCTCTCAAGGTGAACCTGGGCGTGCCAATACGCCACGATGGTATGTTGATGTTCAAGAGGGGCCCCGAAGCGGCGTCCAGGTCGTCCATGGTGCGCGGTCGCTGCTCCTCGCCCGTCGGTCTCGAGATGATCACCCTGAACGTGTCCTTGTCCGAATCTGTGGCAGCGTTGTACTCCTGCACTGTGGTGTCTGACATGGCCCGTCGTGGCCTCGTGGGGTGGTTGAGGCTTCGAGCGTCTGGGAAGTACTGCTTCTCTCCACCCAGAGGCGATGCAGTCGGTGTCGGTGTCCATTGGCTAAAGTCCAGCTCGAGCGGTTTCACTGCCCTGATATCTTTTGCGTCCTTTGCTTTGCCCTGAATCGATTGGTCTAGCCCGCCAGCGCCCGGAGGCGTCACGGGGAAGACAAAGTTAGGCTGCGGGTAGCGTTGGTGAGCAGGACGAACCGTAGGCCTGCCACGAGGAAGTCAGCATTCCAACCGGACCGCTCCCGAAAGCCAAACGCCCAAGACCCTATTTCACCCCGCAGACCACCCAACGGCATTCCAGAAGGAGGCGAGTCAAACCCACGTACCTCAAATAGATTCTCCCATTGTTGCCCACGTTGGCGACCGCAAACTGCCGACCTTCGCGACCAGCCGAGGTGCCGTCTGGGGCGACATCATCCTTGTCTGCCTCGGCCTCCCGCCCGACCCGGGGCAGGGCCTTTTCTTCGTGCGAGAGCCGCTCCGTGGCTGGGAGCAGGGGCTTCCCGGTCGTCGCGGCCGCGCGATTCGCAGTCGCAATTCTGGCGGGCAGTCTGGCGGAGGACAGTTTCGGCGACGATGCAGCGGCCCTGCTGGCCGAGCTGCCTAGCCTCTTGGGCCTCGCGTCCGCCGTGGGACGCCTCAGCGACGCGGCGGTACGTGTGGAATCGTTTCGCAGGGGCGGCGACGCGGCGATGCCGGAGCCAGGCGGCTTGCCAGGTTGGTGTGCGTCAACGGCGTCCATGGCCGACGATGGCTACGTCAGGCCAGAGCTCGGTTGCTCGACGCGGTTGATGCTGTCGGGGATGTCGCCTTAGCATGGCCCGAGACACAACAGGGAGGAAGAAGCAAAGACGGCCGCTGGGCTGCACCCGCCAGACAGGTGTTTGAGGAGGCCCAACGAGCAGGTCGATCGGTCGCTGCGCGCAAGCAACGGGCCAGAGATGCGCGCGAGGCTGAAGATGGACAGGCACTTATGGAGCACGTACCCGTATTTCCAGACGCCATGCAGGGACGGGTCGCGTCGCCCGCTATCGAGGAATCGTCATGAATCGCAGCGCGAGTCGAGGAACAGACGGGGAGCGAGGCGTGGTGGTCGAATTTGGCGAAAGGTGCGCCCAGAGGACGGTCGGGCGAGGCGGAGACGTATCGACGACAGCTGGGGACAGATTCGCTTGGGAGCTAGAGAGCAGGAGGGCGGGAAGGATGATGGGGTGGAAGTGACGGCGGGTGGATGGACGGAGTCTCTGTGGGAGGTGGTGGTGGTCTGTCTCTTATACACATCTAGATGTGTATAAGAGACAGGGAAGGATGATGGGGTGGAAGTGACGGCGGGTGGATGGACGGAGTCTCTGTGGGAGGTGGTGGTGGTGGCGGCGGCCGTCCGCTGGCTGGCTGGCTGGATGTCTGGCTGGACTGGCTCATCGGCAGCGCGTGTGGCGGGCAGCGCCTGCTGGGGCGGGCGACAGACGGATGGGTGAGGGACGGGAGATGGTGGCGCGGGCTGCTGCTGGGGGTGGCCGACATGCCATCAATGGATGTCAAACTTGGACGAGATTGCCCGGGGGCCTGCGGCGCTGCAGTGGTGGCCAGAAGCTCCCGTCACGTTTTTTTTCCTGTTCCAGGGTTTCTCCTTGCGCCTCAGGTGCAGCTCGCGCACAGGCGCCCGCCCAGCCAACCTCCCCCCGACCTTGGGAAAAGCATCATCTCAGAGCAGAGAGCCCTGGGGCAGCCCAGCCCAGCCCAGCCCAGCCCAGTGCGGTGCAGCTCAGTGGGCCCCGCCCGCACCGCACCGAACCGAGCTGTTGGCTCCAGCGCGTGCCCTCCACTGGCCCAGGCCCTCCCCATTGAACTGGATTGAAGCTCATGGGACCCCACCCGGCCTCGCTGGGGGGGCCCGGGGTGGTCTGGTGGTCTGGACTCCACTGTGCTCCGGGCTGCAGCAGCGCGAGATGGTGGCCCCCCTTAGCGCCTCGAGGTGCAGCTCATCCCAGCGCGGCCGGACCTTGGCGGTGACCTTCTTGGTGACCTTCTTGGGCGGGTCGCGCGTCCCGCGATGAGCTGCGACAGGGCATTTGGCTGGTCGGTGTCGTCGTCCTTACCTCTCCCAGGGCTGGATCGCGCCGCGCCGGGCCCGGCTGGCTGGGCTGGGCTGGGCTGCGAACAAGATTGAATGAGGGTGAGGGCCTCAGAGTCTTGCCCGTAGTCACGGGGTTGTCCGTCCTACTCGCGCATGACGGACATTACTGCGCTGCATTGCCCAAAATTCCGGCCTGACAGTTCCAATTGGGGTGCTCCGCCCCCGTCAAGCACCTCACGGCCGGCCTACCCGCCGCCTGCCTGCCTGCCTGCCTGCCTGCTTGCGCATGATGGAATTCCAGAGAACTGGTCCGCACCGCCTACCTTAGTACCGACAAAACGCATACTTTTGCCCTGCCTGCCGAGGACGACGACGACGACGACAGGCCCAGAGACGGAAGCCTATCGCTGCGCCGCAGGGCAAGGGTCCCCGTCCCTCCCCCCCGGGCAAGCAAATCGCCGGTGCTCCGCGCATCTGCGATCCAGCCATCTGCCCACCGAGCGAGGCGAACCGAAAGTCAACAACCGACCGTGCCGTCCAGCCTCTGCAAATCAACCCCCGGGGGGCACTTTCACGCGTGATAAATGCGTCTGCGTGCTGCCTCGCGCTTAGCTTGGCGACCGTGCCTCCACCACCGCCGCCGCCGCCGCCGCCGCCAGACGGCCGCTTCGCGTCTGCAGCAAAATCGAAGCCATTTGGACACCGGCTCGTACGACGACGACGACGACGGACCCCCCTTTGGCCCCCCCGCCCCCTTCCGGGTGCCCCGTCCGCCCGGCTGCTTTGCCGGCGGCGGGACGCACGCACGCAGCCTCTTAATAACTGAGGGCTTTGTTTCTGACATCTGACAGGCAGGCGGGCGCAGGCCGATTCGCCGCGCGTGACGTCGACGCCGCTCCGGGGCCAAGAATCGCAAACCCCGTAACTAATTCGACAAAGCTCGCGGATTTGTATTACGGAGCACGGAGGAGTGCGTGCCAAGCAACGTACTACGTATTTCCTGCAATGTGCCTGCGACGCCTGGGCGGCTTTGATCACCGGCGTGTTGTTGGGCACGCAACCCCCCTTTCGCAGGCCCACGGCGATAAGGAGCTGTTGACGATCGGCTAGGAGGGCAACCGGGCACGAGCACGGACGGCCCGCGAAGCGACTGCCGCGGGCCTCACACGCGGCCAACGTCCCAAAGGTGGTGCATTTGTTACGCGGGCCCCGGCGGAACGGTTGGCCTCGCTGCCCATCCCACGTCTCGATGCTGCTGCATGCAGGGATCACCAACCGGGGGCCCAGGATGGCAGCGCCAAGGGTTTGCTACGGATTACGACAGGCACGCACACACGCGCAAACATCTCATCATCGCAAGCAAGGATGCGGCCCTCGTCTGGACCCGTGCTAAAAAGTCCCTGGCTGGGCGGCAGCAGCGGCGGCGGCGTCTTGTTCCGGGCGTCGCCTGCGCGGATCCCCATCGTCAGCCCAGGTCTTTTTACCCGTCATCCCTGCCTTTGCCTCTGCCTGGCGCCCCCCGCCTCGTCTCGCGGCTTCGTTGCCGGCGCTCCGTCCGGACCCGAGGGAATGGGACCGGTCGCTGCGCCCCCCCTGCTTGGGTGAGGCGGCGCCAATCCTGCGGACGTCGCATGTGCGTCTTTTCGTCGGTTGTGCCTGTTTGTTGGTCGGAGATGGGGTGATGAGCAATCATGCTGCCATGGCGGAGGCAGATAGGAGATGCACGCACTCACGCCCGGACAAACGAAGGCTGTCTGTCAGCTCAATCAGTACACACAAACGCCAACGCCAACGCCAGCGCCAGCGGGAGCCGCGCCGCCTGTCGGGTCGCCCGGTTCGTCGACTCTGCAGCAGCATTCGGCAGTGCATGGACCGCCCTGTCATGCCCGGCCCGTGCACGGACGACCCTAGGCTGGGCTGGACCTGGGCTCGGCTGCCATTGCATTGCTATCCCCTTCCGACCCAGGGGGGGTGCTTGGGGGTTGGTTGGTCCGCGACTCCATGCGCCAGCCATCACCGACCGCATCATGCCCTTTCCAGCGGGACAGACAGGGTGCCATTTCCCGTCGCTGCCTGGCTGGCTCCGGGCCCGGCAAAGGGGGAGCGTCTGCCGGCATGCGGTCGCATGCAGAGTCCGCATCGGGCCATGTTTGCTTTCTACAGTGGCTCACGCGTCCGATCCTTCTCGTGATTTAGCTGGGCTTGGCAGATGATGCTCGTAGTATTACTATGTATTACTTGTCGTCCGAGGCAATGATACGGGCTGCATGCGTGTTTGATGACAGGGGGCGGTCCTTCATAATACCAACGCCATATTCCCCGGATCTCCGACGAGGCTCATCTCAACTCTTTCCTCAACCCACGAACCCCCTCCATCCCGCCGTCTGTCACTGTGACAGTACTGTACTGTACCGGCACCCATTGCACAGAGTACGAAGGGACGGAGCATCAACGCCGCTGTCAATGGGCAACGACAATGACACTCCACTTCACTCCAAGCCACCTGCCGAGTCTCCGCCCGCCTTCCCGCCGTCACCGCTACACAAGCTTCGTCCATGCCGTCCCC